CTTGATGCTGTACTTCTGGGCCCCAGGACCATGAGAGAATAAATTCTTGTTGTTTTATGCCACTCAGCTGTGGTCTTTTGTCAGGGATCACAGGAAGCCAGCACAGTGGGCACCCAGCTGCCATTTGTGTCTCAAGGTAAAAAGCAGATGCCTTCAAGACATCAGGCTGAGCATCCTCTGGAACAATCAGTACAGAATGGGGAATTTTTATGAGGTTTCTGGAATTGAAACTGCGGCTACCTCCCTCCCCAATTAGGCCCCACCCTAACCACATCTTCCTTGTGTCTATTCCCAGCACAGCAAAAATCCAGAAAAAGTGGATTCTCCTTTGCCTCGATTTGCAAATGTTGCCCAAGGAAGCTCTGAGCTTCTGGGCAGCTGAATCCAGCAGCTGACTCCTGATGCCGTTCACATGTAAAAAGGCTGCCAGTCTGTCCAGATGATGCCACCCTGAGCCAGAGCCCAGGGCCACCCACCACAGTGACATCCAGGATGGTGTCTATCTTAGGGTCCTGGGGCCGTGGTAACAAAGGACCACAGACTGCAGGCCCTCAAACTACCAAATCCACTCTCCCACAGTTCCAGCGAGCAGAAGGCTGACATCACGTGTGGGCAGGTCCCTGCTCCCTCTGAAGGCCCAAGGGGAGGATCCTTCACGCCTCTTCCTGGCTTTGGCAGTAGCTGGTGATCCTTGGCGGGCGCCATCTTGGAAACGCATCTCCAGCCCCATCCAGCCTTTAGAGGACCCCAGGGCCCCCTTCCCGCTGCCCCCTTCCCAGCTGCTTTGTTCTTTAAATTGTGCAAAACAATTCTCAGGATGGTATCATGCTCTTGGCCTCTCCATCCCATTCCCCACCCAAAAAAATCCCACGAACGAAAAGAAAAATATTTCTTATCAAAGGAATGGTGAAGAAATTGTGATTTTGACATCTGCAAGCTGTTGAAGAAATAACTCTCTTCTGCTTTTTCGAATTATCCTAATATATGTAATCCTTGAAATATGAATTCTTTGCGCTGTGTAGTGAGATTGTATAAGAATAAAACAAAAATAGAGATTCTCCAGCATTAAGGAAGCAGCTTAGAACTAGGTGTGGACAGGCCCTGGGCACCACCCACAGCCACCCGCTCGGAATTCCCTCTACAGGACAAGCACACCCCTGCTTTAGTCGCCCTGAGGAAGGGCTCCAAAATTTACCTAAGGGTCCAATAGCACTTTCATGAAAATCCCAGCTGTCAGGAGTGACTTTAGTACTCAGCAATCCGCTCCCTCACTGTCTGTCTGTTTGGAATCCAGATGACGGAGTAGTGTTTCTCCTGCTAACATGTCCTCCGCCAGTGGACACAGGGAACTTTGTCCCCAAATGCTTCAAGTTGTTTTGACGTAGCTTTTTGAAAATGAAAGGGACAACTTTCTTCCAGGAGGCCTGAGAGGTGGGACCATGTAGTGTCTACAACCAGCCCCACACCCATTCCTCCTCCAGCCTCCAGCCCTCCTTCCTGGTTCTCCCCTCAGCCCCAGCCTGAGGAATGGGTGGCCTTCCTCCAAGGTTTGCTGTCTGCACCTCCTTCCATCTTCCGCCCGGTGGAGGGGCACGGACACTGTGTCGTCCACCTCCCTCTGTCCGGCGTGGAACCTGCCCACTGCCCAGGGAGCAATCATTGGGCAAGACCTCTGACACCCCCTGCTCTCAAATACCTCTATCATCTTCTGCCTTTCACTCTTCCTTCAGGTCTTCAAAATACTCTCTCCTACCCTGGGGGTCCACTCTTGGAGTTGTACATTCTATGGGTTTGGACAAATGTATCATGACCTGTGTCCACCATTACAGCACATACAGAGTATTTCCACGGCCCTAACATCCTCTGTGCTCTTTCTAGTCATCCCGCCTTCCCCAAAACCCCAGCAACCACTGATGTTTTGTCTCCATAGTTTTGCCTTTTCCAGAATGTCATATAGTTGGAATCATACAGCATGCAGCCTTCTCAGATTGGTTTCTTTCACTTAGTAATATGCATTCAAGTTTCCTCCATGTTTTTTCATGGCTTGATAGCTCATTTCTTTCAGCTGCTGAATAACAGTCCATTGTGTGGATGGAGCACAGTTTATTTCTCCATTCTCCTCCTGAAGGGTATCTTGGTTGCTTCCACCTTTTGCCAATTGTGAGTAAAGCTTCTGTAAACATCCGTGTGCTGGTTTGTGTGAGGACACGTTTTCAGCTCCTTTGGGTGGATACCAAGGAGCATGGTTGCTGGATAGTATGGCAAGAGTATGTTTGATTTTATAGGAAACCACCAAGCTGTCTTCCAAAGGGGCTGCCCCATTTTTGCATTCCCATCAGCCATCAAGAATAGTTCATGTTGCTCCCTTTAAAAACAAAAACAAAAAAATATTTTCTTGACAACGGTTCCCTTGAAGAGGAAAAACCACCTGGCGAGTCAGTGGGGCCAAGAAGGGCGTAGGAGGAAAGCTGACATCCAGGGAAGCGTGATGGGGAGATCTTTTAAACGACAAGGCAAAACGTGCCTGGCGCCAAATCTTACTGAAAATGCCCCTACTGACGTGCAACCAGCAAATGTTTCGCGGGCCAGTTATTAAGGAAATCTGTAGAAACTGCCTCATCAAAGGGGAGATTCGGGGTCCAGGGTGAAGCAGGAGCTCCGTGCCTTGAGGCAAGACTGCAGAGTGACCCTGAAGCTATGCTCCATTTCTGCAGCCAAAAAATGAAAGATGGAGAAATCGACCAGCAATGTACCTTGCTTCGGAAGAAATAGAGTGTTCACTCTTCAACAAGGTTATTGTTTTCATCCTTTGTTCATTCTCATTATACAAATAATAACTGTTCATTAAAAAAAGACAAGCTAAAAAAATGAAATCTTACCACTTTTGATGTATTTTAATGTATTTCCATCTGGACATTTTTCTCTGTAAATATATATATACATTCTTAAACGATTTCCTGGCCCTCCTCTTTCTCTCCTACAGGCATGGAAATTTTATATCTTTTTCTAGGGAGACAGAATCATTAGCACATAAATGTCACATAAGAAATTGCCTGGCGCTGAATAGCCGCTTCTCCAGGCTGGGGGAACGTTAAAGCGGCCGTGTGCGAGGGCAGCATCAACTCTTGTGATTTCAGCATCTTCTAGTAAAATGAGGATTGATGAAGCTGTGCCCTTATAACGAGCTAGACCAACTCCGTTCACTGCTGCCCAGTGATTGTGACACTGAAAAGGTCACAAATAAAATTTTAATTTGCTTTCTTTACCCGTGTAAGATAACGGTTGCTATGGGTGAATACCTTTCGCGTACATTAACATCCATACGTGGCATCCTCTGCCCCCTTTCTGAAAATAATGTTACTGTTGCACTGAGGACGTCTTGTGACAATTCAGAGAATAAAGAGATGTGAGAGGAAGGGAGGGAACCAGGAGCCATTTGACTCGGAGACGCTATCACAATCAACCCTAAATACAAGGCGGAACACCACCTGGAGAACTGATTCCCTTCATCCCGGCTCTACTGAGGACAGGACAAGGGAAATAAGCAGATGGAGGCCTCGTGGAAATCGGTGTGAATTGTCACATGGTAGATGGAAATGGCAAGCTAGGGATTCCGGCCACGAGGCTGGGTAAATACGGAGATTGACAACGCTTTCCTACAAGCTTATAAACCAACACACACACACAACCCAGAAAACACCCAGGGCGGATACACCACAAGCTGTCCACACTGGAGGACACCTGGGCCTCAAGCCCTTCCTGAGGTTTCTGGAAGGTGCTGGTCTGTGCTATCCCGTCCTCAGCATCATGGCCGTTACTGCATGTTTCGTCTTTCCTGTGCAAGCTCATGGACGGCCTGGGCCACCTTCATTTAGATGGGTCACTGCTCTGTTCCCGCTGGAGCGAAAGAGGAAGAGGAAAAGGAGTGAATTAGGACCCACTGGAGCTGCTCTCTGCAAGGCGAGTGCCCGGCCTTTGCACGTATTTTACGTTGTTGGTTTGTACTGTTGCTTATTGCTTCATTGTGTAGAAAAAAGCAGAGACGCTGGAACTGACGTAGGTGTACTGTGCTGGGATTTCCTGAGAGTTTTACAGATCTTAACTCAGTGACGCCTCAGACTCCTCCATAAGGAAGTACTATTATTAACGCCGTTTTACAGAGAGAGAAACGAGGCAGACTGGTGACCTATGTAAAATCACAGAGCAAGCCAGCGGCAGAGCCAGGGCTGGGCCCAAAAGTCAGGCTCCAGAACCCAGCACGATACTCCCTCTGTCCATTTTTACTTTGGACACAACACGTGAAATAGCGGATAGGGCTGTTGTGAGAGGTATAAAAGTTAAACAGATGTAATAGTATCGTTTATAATGGTTTGCTAATAAATTCATTTATTCAACAAGTTTCTGCCTGCCGACTAAGGAGCGTCGAGTGCAACAGCGAACAGTGAATGCGAGACTTCAGGCTGTGCTCCAGGCTGTGGAGCCGGGAAAGATCTGCTTCCTGCTTGTTTAGCTGTGCGGCCTTACCGGGGTTTTAATCCTCTCCGACTCTCAGAGTCCTCCTCTATAAAATGGGGAGATTGGTTGCCGCCTTGCAGCATTCTATATAATACTGAGGATTTAGTAGATAGCTGGCATTATTAGAGAATAGTCCCGTTGCAACCCCGGGACAGTACGACCCCTGGACGGGAGACTCCGGGGGCTGCAAGTCCGAGATGGTGCGAGCCTGGGAAAGAGCAAATTGAGACCCTGCGATCTTGGGACCGGGTGAGCCCGGACAGACAGCCCCGGGGCAGGCAATTCTGGGCGGTGCGGGCTGGCGGGCTGTGCCCCTCCCATTTGTCTTGCGGAGAGAGGGGCAGGGAGGGGGGAGGGGAGAGGGGAGGTAGAGGGGTCAAGGTGGGGAGAATAGAGGGGGCAGGGAGGGGGGGAGGGTGGGAATGGAGGAGGGGAGGGGTAGGGGAGCAGGGAGGGAGGAGGTGGGCGGGGAGGGGCGGGGGAGGGGGAGGGATAGCAGGGCGGCGCAGGCCAATCCCCAGCCCGGACATCCCCCCCGGCCCGCCGATCGCCCTCAACCGCCGCGTCCCCGCGTGGATCTACCGAGACCGCAACACAGCGGCGGCTGCGTTCGCGTCGACCCCGTGGGATCCCGACCTGGACCCCGACCCCAACCCCGACCCGGACCCGGACCGGGACCCAGACCCCAACCCAGACCCCGACCCCAACCCAAACCCAGACCCCGACCCAGACCCCGACCGGGACTCCGAACCCAACCCAGACCCCGACCCCGACCCCGAACCGGACCCGGACCTGGACCCGGAGCCAGACCCAGAGCCCGACCCCGACCGCGTCCCAGCCCCCGATCCCGACCCGGACCCGGAACTGTGAGCCCGGCCGGGACCCCGACTGCGCCCCCCCACCGGTGAGGGCCCACGGCTGTCACCCTCGCCGCCGTCGCCTTTCGGGGTTTGCGCCCCTAGGTCCCGGAGCCGGGGGTGCGGGACCCTCCCCTTGCCCTCTGTCCCCCCTCCGCGGCTTCCGACTTAGAGGCCGGGTCCGGGGTCCTGGGCGCGCCCCTGCCAGGCTCTCCGGAGCAGCCCTGGTCCCGCCCACCCGCTCCCCTCACGGCTCCTCCCCTCTCTTGTCCCCTCCCCTCCCTCGTGACCCCCCATTTCTCACCCCTCCCCTCCCCCGCAGGGGCAGGGGCAGGCGGGGTGGGGCAGGCCGGGTGGGGGCCAGGGACGCCCTGGCTGCGCGGCCACCTTTATTCCCTCCCCGCCTCGATCCAGGTGTGGCCGGAAATTTGGGATTTCTGAGCGTATTTCAAAAGGGCTGGGCTCTAAAAGTTGCCTAAGACGGACCAGGATCTTCTGGGGTTCTGAAGAGCGTCTCGTCGCCCGCACTTGCAGCTGGTTGTCGTCACCTAATGCACTGAGAGCCAAGCACCTGGAGGGGCACCTGCCCGTCTGAAGGGCGGCGAATCCTCGGGAGTGGACCCTGCCAGGTCGACAAGTTTGGGTGGGTTTAGGTGGTTTGGGTGGGGGGGGTGCGTGTTGGCGGGGTGTATTGACACAAGGCGACAAAATGACATCCTAGCGTTTACTGACAAAGTTGAGACTTTCTTTTGTTCAGTGAGGCGTCCATGCAAAGCTTGTCTTTTCTTCCTTCCCAGGAAGTGAGGCTGGAGCTGAAAGCAGAAGTGTAGTAGGGGGCTTGGGAGGGGCTGCGAGGGTGGGGGTGGTGGGGGTCCCATGGGGTCAGTGGGTGAGTGCCTGGGCATTTGTGAGCAGCAGCGGAAGGGAGATGCTAGCTGGGTGGCCCCAGAACATGCAGTCCCCGTTTCTGTGGGACCACAGGACCCCTTCACACAATTCAGTATTAACAAAAGGGTGGCCGGGAGACAAAAAGCCAGCTGGGTCCCACACCCCCCCTCCAAATTCCAGCGGGGGGAGGGAGGAGCAGATCCAGCCTGTCTTTCTAGAAAAGGCAGACAGACAGAAGGAAGCCGGGGAGGGGTCCCAGCACCGTCCCTGTGGCGGTTCTTTAACTTTGGGGGCAGGTGTGTGCCCCGCCAGCTGCTTGTTTGACAAAAGGCTCTGTAAGTCGCCGCCCACTTAACTTAGTTGTGCCCAGTCCGTTCCTCTTGGGCTTTACAAGGATTTTCTGGTGACCAGGATGGTGGTGACACGAGGGCCCAAGAAGCCCCAGCCACTTAAGTGAAGTGGGGCCTCCTGGGGCTCAGGGGGCATTTCTGTAGCGCCCCCTGCCCGGGCTCTGGGCTCTGGGCGGCCCGTGGGCGTGTGTGAGGCCCACAGTCTGGGACAGGAACCCAGAGGTGAGACTCCGGGTCAGGAGGGGCTGTGTCCTTGTGCCGTCCTCAGGTGCCCATTCTCCAGGGTTCTGGTCTGGCACCTACCAAACCCCTTAAGTGAACGAGAGACGTGGACTTGAACCTCAGGAAATCTTAGGCCCTCCAAACCCAGGGAAGACAGGAACCCGGAGACTTCAGTGTGCTTCTCAGCAGGACGTGGCAGGGGTGGGTGGCCTGCCCACCAGGTCAGGGGACAGGACCTGCTCACCTGTCACCCTCACCTGGCCCCAGTTTAGCCAGAGCTTGCCTGCCCCGCGTTGACAGGTGCAGTCCCCTCAGCTGTGCGCCCGCCCTCCTCCTGGCAGAGATCTGGAGAGCGTCTGCATTTCATTTCTTCTTGAAGCCCAGTGACCCAGAAGGTGCTGTGGCTTCTGAGGAGCCTTAGTCAGACTGCTCTGGCAGTGTCGTGTTCATGCAGCGGGTTAACTCTGCATGCAGTGCAGGAAATGAGTGACATGCCAGCGGGGTCACATGCTCAGGGATTTAACCCCCGGGGAGGTCAGAGAAAAGGTCTGGGCGTCTTCACACCCCCGGGGAGGGGTCTCCACGGCGCAGATGTTGTCTGATGCTGCAGGAGTGGCTTTGTGGTTGCAGGCGTGGCGCAGCTCTTTCTTTACATCCACAGGCGTCACGTTTGTTGGAAAGTCTCTTGGGATGGAGGTTTCCCAAAGGACAAGAAATTTCCCACCCAGAATCACTTCCTTCCGTTTAGTTTGAAGCGTCGTCCTTGAGACACAGACTAGCACTCTGGACTCGGCAGGAATTTTGCTATCTGTTTGTAACACGCCTGCAATCTGAAGGGCGGCTCAGGTATCCACTCTTAAAGGGCAGGACCACAGGCCTGGGACGTTCTCAGGTGACACCTGTGGGACCAGTGCCATTGTCACTCAGAAAGGTGTCATGATCGCTCCATCTTAGCTCTTCTCTCTTCTCCCATCCTGTTGAACGTGTGATGCGACTCTCGGGTGGGGGTGGGGTTGAGGGGCAGCAAGGTGGCCAGGAGTCTGCTAGTGGCCCCTGCCTGCTCCCCTCGGTTCAGCCCCTGTGCAGCCCTCACCTGCCTGTGTTGCTGCTGGGTGGCCCTGGCAGGCCAGGCTTCGATGGTGGGAATTGTTCCCCAGGACAGGTCCATGAGCAAGCCAGAGTGACAGTTCTGATGATGATGACAGAGGATGTGCCAGGCACCAGAGGAAGCCCTCCAGGGCTCTCAGCCCTTTAATTCTCACACAACCCCCTGGGCTCTCGCTGTCCTGCTGATGGTGCACAGCCAGGAGACGGCATCTCTCAGGCAGGCTCCCTCCTCCAGGAAACCTTGGAGGGACACCCCATGATGGCGACCAGCGGCCCCTCACAGAGCTGGTCTGGGTGGAGGCTGGCTCCCAGCACATCACCCACACTGGCGACTGCCATGTTAAGATTAAGCAGCAGTGATCACCAAGGGGGTTCATTCTTTCAGTTAATGGAGGAGGAAGGAGCAGATGTTTACAGAGTGCCTGTGGGCACCCAGGGCACCAAATTCTGCAAATTGAAAATCTGCAGGTTCTGGCCAGCAGGCTGGAGACCCAGGGAAGAGCTGACGCTGCAGTCGGAGTCCAAAGGCCAGCTGGAGAGAGATTCCTCCCTCCTCTGGAGCCCGCCGTCTTTTTGTCTTAAGTCTTTGAACTCAGTCATTGGCTGCGGCCCACCCACGTTATGGAAGGTCGTCTGCTTTACTCACACCTGACTGATTTAAATGTTAACCTCCTATAAAGCTACCCTCACAGCAACATCTAGACTGATGTTTGACCCAACGCTGGGCACCGTGGCCTGACCGAGTGGACCCATAAACTAACAGTCCCAGGGGGCTGTGCAGGGGCGAGGCCATGCTTGGTTTTCACAGGTGAGCACATCCCTATTAGCCCCAGTTGGGTGCTGGGGCGCTGGGGTCTCAGCTAACGTTTGTGGCTGTGACCCCCGATAAAGAAAGGTTTATACTGTGCGCCAGCAACGTTCATGAGACAGGAGCAACAGTTTCACGGAGCAACACTGAGAGTGACCCCATCCACGCCCCTCCATTTGTTTCTTTGAAACATCGCGAGGTCCCCGGGTTAAATCCAAAACTGGCTCCTATATTCGGAGGGGAAGGAGAGACCAAAGAGAGAGGTGGACCCCACAGATGGGTAAGAGGCAGGTTTAGTAAGCGAGGGAACTTACATACAAGGCTTGTCTTGGGCGGCACAAGACCGGTAGGCGTACACACCCGCCCACCAGAATCTGGAGAGTTTACATAGAGGCCTTAAGGGGGCTCAGTCACATATACCATCCAGATGGTCTCAACAACGCGTGCCCCCTCAAGGCTGCGTCCTTGAAACAGCTCCTAGTGTGGGGAACGGTGGGTGGAACATACATTCCCAGGATGATGAGGGGGAGGAGCCCCCGATTACCCGGGTCCAGCTCTCAGACCCACTGGCTATCACGTCCTCTCCATGACCTACTCCAAAACCATCGGAGGTCGAAAGCTGGGTCACCCAGGCAGTCAGATCTGATGGGGGCATGGTACCAAGTGAGGGTGAGCTGGTGGCCTCCCATTTCCTCTGTGGGTCCACACACATGTCTGTGCGTTCTGGATCACGCTATAAACTGTGAGCCACTGAGGATCGTGATCGTACAAGTTGGAATGGCCGCTGGAGTGCAGCCAGGCCCTCAGAACCTCAGCAGGCATGGCTGCAACTTGGGGGGACGCTGGGGGCCTCGCTGAAGCCCCCCCATAACCTTGCAGAGTCATAGTAGGAATTAGGAAGTCTGGTCCTCATGCGAGACGCAAAATGAACATAAGTGAGCCCCCTGGGGGTCCCAGCTGTGGGAGAGGCCTCCCCTCTCTGGGGACGTTCCCCTACCCTCCCCTACCCGCAGGCATGGGCAGCGTGAAGCTGCTGTCTGAATTGTCCTCCATCGGGCTTCTTGAGCCAGTGAGTGAGGTTCAGAAGTCCCCGTGTCCCCCTCCCCGGGCAGAGGGGGCGGTTGGGCAGCACATACTCTCTCAGCTGAATCGGGGTCCCTGCAAGAGCTGGGCCTCCTCCATTGCTACACGATCTCCTGAGAAAGGGAAATACATTTGAAAAGGCTTCATTCCGAGGCCTCACAAGGTCTGGCAGGTGTTACTCCATAACTTGGAAGAGGCTTGAAGGTGACAGCCACCCACCTACTCCTCTTGGGGCCCAGCCCAGGGCAGCCCCTCCTTGCAGCTCCAGATGGCCCGCCTGCCCTGTGCCGCCTGGGCGCATCCTCAGGGCCCCTCAGGCCCCATCTGCAGAGTGTCATCTTACTTCAGGGGGGCACACGCTCTTCTCCCCACCCACCTCCCGGAGGGCCCGGCTCCCACCGTCAGGTCAGCCTGCAGCCCCCTCCTGACTTTTGGGTCTGTCCCTCTCCCCAGTGTTGGCTCCACTCCCAGAGGTCTGGTTGGGTAACTAGCTAGTTAACCAGATAAACTAGTCCCTGATAAGAGATGTTCTGGTTCCCACTGCAGCCTCCCCTCATCTCCCCTCCACCTTAGGCCTGGGTGACCCCACTGCCACCTCCCCCAAGAGGCCGGGGTCCCTTCCTCCCAATGCATCTTCCTGAGTTTCTCTCTCTCAGCTTTCTGAGAGAGGGTACCAACGAGATTCTTCCTGTGGGCTCTAGAAAGAGAGGATGCTTGTTTCTTGGTGCCGGGCCCCAGACCCGGCTCTCGGGTGGGCATTTATGCGCCACCACGACTGGAGGCTCCTCGGAAAACAGCCAGTGTTTAGAGAAACCAGATCTGTGCCCCAGGAAGCAGGATCGTCTGTCGACTTGGGATCTCTAGCTCCCACCCCCGCCCGTGGCCGGCTTGGTTGTAGCTCAGAAAGGTGAAATTTCATCAATAGTGGCGTCTGTGTGTGTGTGTGAAAAAACCTAACCTGAGAGCCTTGGTTTGAAGTTCATATATACTTGAAGTTGTTGGTTCTTTGCCATCAACAACAACTTGGATCAATGGTCTCTTTCAAGATGCTGGAAATGCAGAGGGCTCACGTCGGGGCTGTTTTCCTCGTTTGCCGAAGGGGACCTGGCACAGAGCACAGCTTCTCGCTTACACGGGGAGGGTTCGCGTGCACGGCGCCGGGCCTGGGCCGCCCCCGGGGGGTGCAGGGGCTGGATTCTGTAAGGCGGGCTGAGGGCGGCCCGCACACTCTCAGCAGAGGGAGGGTGATGGGAGGTGCTGGTCTCACAGCCCGCAGACCTTCAGGGTGGGTGCCCCCGTTTATTGTCAGCCTGCCCGTGCCGGGTGGCTGAGGCGACTAGCTGTGTCCAGGCTCACATGGTGGGAGAAGGAAGTGGGTTCAAGCTGGGCCGGCCTGACCCAGAGGCTCAGCAGTTCATACCATGCTTTCTAAGTTGTGGGTTCCTGACGTGGAGAAAGCCCGGTTTAGGTCTTTATTTCACTGACTCAGTGAGCAGTTAACAGATCAGCTCTGCAGTGGTCCTGTGCCCATCAGGGGTCAGATGTGCAGGAAGATGGTGCTGTCTCCGCAGATGTCCCTTCCGGGAATCGGCGAGCAGGGAAGGAACTGACGTGGCCAGCGCTTCTGCCCTACGCCTGGCTATGCTGGCTGTGTTAGTGCTGTGTCTCGTGGTGGCCTAAGCACCACATTTTTCTGGCTGCTCGTACCCTCTTCTATAGCTCTGACCTCCGGTTTGTCAATTCCTAATGTTAAGTCCAGAAAAGCCAGTCGCTGCCCCTCCCATTAGACCAATCTGTGGTCCGTTCTCTCTGGAACGGCAGGAGCAGCCTCACTGGTTGTTGCGGGGTTGGGAGGTCTCTGTGCCTTTGCTTGCCTCCTGGACGGCTGCCTCCAAGACATCTCTGATCCAGTCAGAGCTTGCCAAGCCCCTGAGAGTTTCGGACCTGCCCTGGGTGACCGGGCTGGGCGTCCCTGGCCTTATTAGAAACGGGACATGGTGGTGTAGGGGCAGGGGAGAAGCAGTGCAGGCTGGGTATTACTTGGGTTCTCTCCTCATTGATGGGTTCTGTTCTCAGCCAATTCTCTTATCCTTCTTGGAGCTCAGCTTACTCCAACCTTAAAAGGGGAGTGACGTGAGCCTTTTTGTTATATGGGGTTGTGTATATGAAAGCATTTGGAAAAGTTTGACGCATAAATATAAAAGATAAAAATGAAACAAAATGTATTCTATTTGAATAAAATATAAAAGTACAAATATAGAATGTTAGCCAGGTTCCCCGGAGGTTGCCCCTTGCTGAGAAGACGGCAGGAGGGTATAACCGGTGCAGGTCAGGTGGGCTGAACAGGCAGGGTTTTCAAGAGCCACCAAGTTGGAGAAGTTAACTGACTCATCCAAGGTCACCTCTAGTGAGTGGCTGGCGGGGACACAGGTCAACTATAGAGCGCGGGCATCCCTTAAGAGTGTCCCACACTGAACACCAAGCACGGAGGGTCACTGTTTAAAATCACAATGCCACACAATACCATGAAACAGGAAAACTTGTTTCATTTCTCCCTCCAACAAAAGGAGTTTATCTCTTGGAGTCCACCTGCACCAGAACCCAGCTTCCTAAAGGAAGGAGCAGAAAGTTCTGGATCATTGTGAAGAGTAGCTTTCTAATTTTGAAGGTGCACATTATGTTTATTCCACTTTGAACAAACGCGCGGCTGGCAGAGTCTCCAAAGACTTGTTGGCCTCTAAACCACGTGGTTTGCTCACTGCAGAGATCTAAGAACCTCGTTGGAGGTTCGGTAAAGGGACTGAGTTTGTCTTGGTTTGCGTTTCTGGGATACTACTGCGACCTTGAGCAAGTGAAAGCCTTGGGCTTGGTCCAGGAAATCTGAGCCACCTTGTAAAAGTTAAACAAATGTATAAACTTGGGAGGATCCTCATCATGGCCTACAGTGACATTTCCGTTTGAGGTTGGCCATGGCCAAGTGTCATACCGAATGTGTGGGTTCATTGCAGTTGACAGTGCTTCTCTTCAGGCCAGGAAAAGGGAGGCACATGTGATGGCCATGACCTTGAGTTCTAAAGGGTGGGAGCTTGTGTGATGGCCATGACCTTGAGTGCTGAAGGGTGGGAGCATGTGTGATGACCATGACCTTGAGTTCTGAAGGGTGGGAGCTTGTGTGATGGCCATGACCTTGAGTGCTGAAGGGTGGGAGCATGTGTGATGACCATGACCTTGAGTTCTAAAGGGTGGGAGGCACATGTGATGGCCATGACCTTGAGTTCTAAAGAGTGGGAGCTTGTGTGATGGCCATGATCTTGAGTGCTCAAGGGTGGGAGCATGTGTCATGGCCATAACCTTGAGTTCTTGGGGAGTAGGAGTGAAGGCATGTGTGATGACCATAACCTTGGCTTCTGAGAGGAATATGACCTTGAGTTCTGACAGCTCTAGGTCGTAGGAACTATTTTCTGTGACTGGGCGTTGTGTGCTCTGTGTGAGTCAAGGCTGCTTTTGTCCATCTCGTCTTTGGCCAAGTCTGCCTCCTGGAACAGCTGCCTGTAGGTCATGGTGGCCTTCTAATTGGACCAGGTATCCATCTATTCCGTGGGTCTCTTTTGAGAACTTAATATGGCCAAAGCGTTTGTCAAAGCCGTGGGGACTCACCTGTGCCAGGACGGACAAGCCGTGCTGTCAGCAGCTTCTCACAGGGAGCAAGGCAGGTCACAAGTGAGAAATAAGAAAGGTCGTCTGGGCTCCATCCAGGGTCAGGAGGAAACAGAAGCCTGGTGTTGAGCCCCTCCATCAGACAGGCACCCCAGTTCCATTCAGCAAGTTTAGTGGCTGCCTGCTGGGTCCTCGTGTTGCTCTACGACCCTGGTTCTCCAGGTGTGGATCCTGGGTCAGAGGCATCAGCAGCCCCAGGGAGCTTGTTTGAAATGCAGATTCTCGGGCCTCTTCATAGCTGGGCCTGTTCCAGAGCGTCCGGGCTGCCGTCAGCCCCCCAGGTGACGTAGATGCACGAGAGCTGGAGAACACGCTCCGGGGGGTGAGGGGACACCGAAGAGGTGAGATGAGGGCCACAGGGGCCGAGCAGCCCCCAGAAGAGCAGAGTGGGGGAGCTGAGGTTAGACCGGAATCTTCCAAGGATGGCGGAGGATGCCGACAGGAAGGAGAGAGTGGAGAGGATGTTCCAGGCGGAAAAAGGGCCTGAACCGGGTTCCCGAGGGGTGGCGAGCAGAGTGTGTGGGAGACGATTCAGGGCAGGGGCCTGGCCGGTCCCTTGAGGGGTCCGGGCAGCGTTGGGGGCCACGGGCCGCAGGCTCCGGGTCTGTCCAGCCCCGTGGTTCTGAAGGGTGGCGTGGGGAGAGGTGTTTGGGTTGACAGCAACATTTTTGTTCCCAGGAAGTTGTGTCGAGAGCCAGGAAGGTTTGGGGCGCCCTCTGTCTTTATCCACCAAGTCCTTGAAAAGTCATCAGCACACGTCCGTGACGCTGACACCTGCGGTTCACAGGGCATCCTTTTCCTGCGGAGCCCGGGGCAGCACAGGAGTGGACCCAGGGCCCAGCACACCTCGGGGCCGCTGGAGTCGGCTCAGGCCAGGCGGTAAGGGTTCCAACCAGCAGTCCAGAGTGAAGTTGGCAGAGAAGCCTCGGGTGGGACCAGGAGACTTGGCTTCCAGCATCAGTTTGCAAATGTGTGAAACGGAAATAATCGCCCGCCCCGGAGGGCGGCTGAGCTCAAGGCATGTCATGGAGGCGTTGTAACTCCACGTGTATTTGCTGAGCGCAAACAGTGGGCCAAGAGCTGCTCTGGGCAGTGGGGATGCAGCTGTGACTAAAGCAGCAGTGAGTGGAGCTTCCCTCCAGGTGAGAGAGTCAGGCGATAGACAAGTATAAGTGCCCAATGATGCTCAGTGCTGTGGAGGAGCGTGAGAACCCGGGAGCCAGGACAGGCCTCCCCAGTGAGGAGACATGGGAGCCGATTTCTGAAAGCAGTGAGGGCTCAAGCCAGGCGGATGTGCTGGAAAGAGCCTCCATGCAGAAGAACAGTACATGCAAAGGTCCAGGGGCAGGAAGACAGGAGGGGGCAGAGAGTGAACAGGGCCAGCCCTCGGGGGGCTCAAAGGTGGTGATAACTGTTAGGACTCCAGCTTCTTCTCTGAGGAAGGGAGAGCATTTGCGGACTTGAAGCAAGAGCATGGTGACCTGCCCCCCATTTATCAAGATTTCAGGGGCTAAGATGTTGAGGAGACTTTGGGAGCCTACTGCAACAGTCCAGGCTGGAGACGAGAGAGGTGTGGACCGGGCGGTGCAGGCAGGGGACGCGGTCAGACGTGCTGGGAGTTTTGAAGGTAAAACCATTAGGATTTGCTGCCGTCTGGACTTGGGGTGGGAGAGAAAAAAAACCGAGGTGACCACCAGGTTTTCTGTCCTGGGCAGATGGGAGGATGGAATGACATGCCTCGGGGGCTGTTATTGTTTCCCGGTGACTAGGGCAGCACCTGCCAGCTCTCCAGGGGGCTCAGCAGATGTCCCTGGAGTAAGCGGACGAGTGGACCGGTGCTGGAGGGACTGGGAAGGGCTCTCTGGGTCTGCACTGCGCGCTCCGAGGTTTTTCATCTTTGCCGAATCGTCACGCTCGTTTTGGTGGCAGAGTCCAGCTTTCAAATGGAACCCGAGTGGCACTTCCGTCTAAGGCCAAGCAGCTGTGGACAAGTCTGCTTGCCATTCCCCCCTCCCAGCAAGGGGCCCTCAGAGACTTCGGGGGGACCCAAGGGCAGGGGGGGGATCTTCCCTGCTGCGGGCGGTAAGGGGTGCCCTGGACGTGCAGGACTTAAAGGCAACAATAAAACGCGTTAAAAGCCGGGCTGCCTTTTACTATCACCGTAGCAACTGTAAACCGTGTTGGTGTTAGATCACCTCGGCCCTTAGCGAAGGACCACCCCTCACCTTCCTCCTCTGCTTCACGGGAGGAGCCACACGTGTCCCCAGGCCCGAAGAACCAGGCCCAGTCACGTTCCTGAGGCTGGTCCCTGGACAGGAAGAGGAGGAGGAGGAGGATAGGAGCCCCCGAGGACGGGAGCTGGTCTGTCAGCACCAAGGGCATTTCCTCCAGAACCCGTGGTGGGGCTGGTGGTGACCACATCCCAGGGGCCGTGACACTCTCGAGGCAGCAGTGATGGCCCCCTCTCACAGCGGAGGAAAGGAAAGTGCAGAGACTCAGGGACATCCTCCCCAGGTCGCCCAGCTGCCAGGAGGCGACCCCGGGTTTGAACCTGCAGCCTGGTGCCATCGTGGGTGACTTCACGGCCCGGCGCAGCCTTGCAGACGAGACACGAGACACGGCCCCCAGTGCGTGGCCCCTGCCCCTTTCGCCAAAGTTCATTTTACTTGTGAAAGGCCTTTCTCCTGAGCCGGGGCTCCAGGGTCCCTGTGAGTCATGGGGGCGGGGGCACCATTCAGGGCTGGGGCCTACTGAGAAGAGAGCCAGCAGGCGGGCCTCCTGGGGGAGAGATGAGCAGACAGACAGGGGAATGGAGCACCTCACCTTGTGTGGATAGCTTACATATTTGGGAGGGTTCAACTCCACTGAACGGAATCGAAGGCCGGTGCTCCTGTGACGGAGGTGTGGAGTAGGAGGTGAGGGTGGGAGGGCGCTCGAGCTCAGAGGGTCTGTCTGTGTGTCTGCACAGCTCTCCTGCTGGCCTGGGCTGCGGGCATGGGGTGCGGAGCCCCCCACTGAGTCTCTGCCCTTTGCCCGGCGGCCTGTTCACAGGTCGCTTCACTCTCCTGGGCTTCGGTGGGGGCGCACCTGCAAATCCTGAGTTAATAGCGGTGGTGGCCAGGCCAGTGTTTGTGTGCGGGAGTGTCCGCCACAGGGAGGAGGCGGGCAGGCAGAGAATGCTAAGAATCTGCTCTCTGGGCTGGAAGGGGAAACGGGATCCAGGAGCAGCAAAAAGGGCTGGGCGGCCCGGCCACCGTCGCCGTGTAATTAACTGGCCCACTCCTTTTCTTCCGACTCCCTCCTCCAGTCCTGCTGTTTCTTTCCAAGCAGGGAAAAAGCTGGTCTAGACTGTTGGTGGGGAGCGCTTGAAGTCTGTGCAGAAACTGATATATGATAACGTACGCCTGAAATCGACACCACGTTATGAGCCAGTATGACTCCAACAAAATTATTTTTTAAAACATAAATAAAAAGAGGATTTGAATTTAAATCTGGGCAGCAAGGCACGGGGCGATGCCAGGGGCCCTCTGCTGCCCTAGTTTTGGGAGCCGGTGACAGTGACAGGAGGGTGGGTGGCTCCGGCCTCAACACCCGTGTCCCCAGCTGGAGCAGGAAGGGATCAGGGCTCCCCTGAGAAAAGAGGAGGAGGTGTTCACGTTACTGCCCCCAGTCCTCCTGGCCCTGGAACCATGGATTCCCGTCTGCCAGCCCCATCCTGGGGGCGTCCACACCTGCGGTTCAGGGCCCAGATCCTGCTGACCCCAGACCCCATGAACTATGTGCCAGGGATGGGCCCCCCTGCCCTGTCCACATCCCACACGGTGGACACTTGAATATCCCCACATCACAGCCACTTCTTCCAGATCTGTTTGGGGGCTTGCCAGGTAAGGGCCACTGTCATTCCAGTTGGCTTCTCAGATACTTTTACTGTTCTGGTTAATTCATTTATTTTATCTCTTATTAAGTAGATTGGCCAGGGCCTAGTGGTGTAGTGGTTATGTTTGTTCACTCGGCTTCAGGGAACCAGGGTTCACTGGTTCAGATCCCAGGTGCGAATCTAGCACACTGCCATGCTGCGGCAGCATCCCACATATAAAATAGAGGAAGATGGGCACAGGGCCAATCTTCCTCACCCAAAAAAAAGAACAAATTGGCTAATTTTTCTGGTTTCAGAACACTTGCTCGCTATGATCCATTTCCCTGAGACAGAAACCGTTCTGTTAGCATTCACACAGAAGGCACACATCTTCAAGATAGACTTGACTTCTTAACGCATTGGCCCCAATTTTTTATCTTGTGTCCCTCTTTTTCTGAAAGAAGCGTGAACAGTGATGTGTCCTGTGAGTGAGCAGTTGACTCAGGACCTTTGTCCCATGTGGCATCCAGTCCCGGGGGAGCAAGCTGACACATACTTCCAGACATGCCTCACCCCTCTGGCCCCCTCACTGGACTGGGGTTCTCAATCTGATTGGGGCACCGGGCAGGGAGCAGCCGTGGGCAGGGCCTGTCTTGGGGTGGTGAGACCATGGCCTCTGTAGTGTCACCCAGAGAGGGATGTTCGCACATGGCCATGGGGGCAGCCGTCTCTGGTGTGCCCCATGAGGTCCCTCCCCAGGGACTGGGGGGCCTCAGTGCTCCTGTCACTGCAATCGATGTTCACAACCCTCGTCCTGCTGCAGCCACGTGGCAGGGTGCGTCTGGCTCCTGCAGGTCCCTAGACCCTGGTCCTTTCCTCGTCTGTCACCATCATGTCCCTGGACCTTAGCCTGACAGCATCACCCAGACGCACCCCATAAATGTGCTGTGTGAGGCCTGTGGGTGGCCTGGTGGCAGCCCAGGAGCCCTGCTCCCACCTGCAGGGATTGGGGCCATCACTTGTCGTTCAGTAAACGAGGAGCTAGTGACACCAGGGTGCGGTGGGCCCTTCTCTCCAAGACCAGGTGCTCCCTGCCACGCGTCCCTGTGGAGCCTGCAGCCCCAGGGCAGGCAAAGGAAGTGCAGCTCGCGGTGGGGCGGGTGACAGGCTGGGCTGTGCTCGTCCTCCAGGCCTGCTGTGGGCTTCGGGCTTCAACTGAGGTCCGGAGGCCTGAGTGGACAGCCAATGGGACATCCGCTGCCTGGCCAGCAGGGGCTCTCCGCTGCCTCCCCGCCTTCCTGGCTGGCTCATCCCCAGCTCCAAATGCAGACAGGCCCTGGACACCTGCAGGGCGACCCGTGAGTGTCTGTCGTGGCTGTGCTGGGCTGGCCTGGGGTCCTTGGCTCCCGCTGCCCGGCCAAGGCCCATCCCAGGACGAGGGGCACCGGGCGACAGTCAGGCCCCTGTGCTTCCCCCAGTGCTGACCTCTGTCCTTCCAGAATTCAGGAATCAAGCTGGAGTTGTTCATAAGCATGAGCACTTTTCACGTGATTCCAGAAGGGTCTCTGTAGGTTTGGGTCTTAGAAATACTGTGACCAGGCACCCTGGACCAGCCACTTTGCTCCTTGGTGCCTCAGTTTCCCTCCTTATAAACTGAGCATAATGTGTTGGCCTGGCCAAGACTCCTCCTCAGGAAAAAGTGAGAATAGAGGAAACGCTTTCCAAGGGGCTGTGACAGCGGCCAGACGGCCGGATGGGCAGCCCTGGGCTCTCTTCATGACACAGTGTGGGCCAGGCGGGTGAGGCCCAGGGGAGGGGGCAAAGTGCATGCGGGGCAGTGGGGGTCAGGTGGAGGAGAGGCTACTAAGCAGCTCGACCTTGGAACCCAGATTCCTGCTCCCTAACGTGGTCATCGTGACCCTAAGCGGCCACCTCAGCAAACGGCTCGCCCCGCCCCGAGGAAAAGAGTCAACAGGTGTTACTAGTGGTGCAGGCAGGGACTTCAAGGGGACAGCGTGTCCTCTGCCATCAAGGCTACATGCTCACACATGCACACACACCGAAACGCGCGTACTCGCACACTCATGCACACGTTTGCACACATACATACCCATACGTGCACACAGACGCACACACGCTCACACACACCTGCTGGGAAGTGACACCCTTCTGGCAAATGGTTGCATCTCATGCCATCTATTGAATGACTTATGTGTTTTCTATTTTGTAACTTATGTATTTTAATAGCTTTATTGAGGCATGATTCACATATTATAAAATACGTTCGTTTTAAGTGAACAATTTCATGCACTTTACTAAATTTATGGGTCGTGCAACCACCACCATCTAATTGTTCCCGTCACCCCAAAACAAAACCTCGAGCCGGTGGTCAGTCACACACCTGCTCTCTGCGTCTGTGGGTGTTGCCTTTTCTGGACGTTTCAAGGAATCCTATAATATACATCCTTCAGGTCAGCTTCTCTGGGTAGCCTGAGATTTTTGATATTCGTCCTCATACCAGTACTCCATTCCTCTTTATTGTTGAATTATTTTCTTGCATTTTTATTGGCGAATCCTGTACTTTATGGACTCACGTTTCAGCAGCTTTATTTCCGGAGCATTCTTAGCAGACCCATAGTGTTAGAGAAGGAAGACCAATTCTCCAGAAGAAAGAGAACGGGGCAGAGAAGAAATCTCGGGGCGCAGCCCGGGAGGAGGCCAGGGCAGTGGCCATCAGGATGGCCCCGGGTTCACGAGAGCCGCCTCCTCTTCCCTCCTGGTGTCCCCTGCCCCTCCGCAAGCCCCGAGGTCACAAGCTGTAGTAGATTGTCACACATTAGCAGTTTCAACTTGGTCGGTCCAGAAGACAGTGCTTAGAAGTGGCCTTCATCTCGGGGCCTTGCCACTCAAAGGAGAAAGCTCTGATTTTTCTTGAGCAGCCAGAGAACAGTGGTCCTTGCCTGGTGGGAGGTGTGGTGGGCAGCGAGGTGGCCCTGGGGCTGACCGGCCGTGACAGTGGAGCCTCTGCAGCCTTTCCAGGAAATGACCTCACTCCCCGTGACACTCTGTGATCACTTCACTGGCCCTGGGACTGACAGCAAACTGTGGACCCTTGGGAGACCCCTGGAGGGAGGGCAGGATCTTGGGTGGGAGACCCCCCCATCGTTCAGAGATTTGCTCTTATCAGGAAGAATGCAGGGGTCTCTTCCTTTTATTTTTTCTAAGATGTTCGGAGCTTGTTTGCCAACTGTCACCTAAAACGCGCCAGCACCCACACAAGCAGCTGGGGGCACTGTCACCCTCACCGGACAGAGGAGAGAACTGAGGCCAGTTGCATCGGGGCTTGGGGTCATCAGCTGCCCAGCAGAGGCTAACGTTGGCCCCGGCTCTCTGTCCTGGGGAGAAGTTCCCCTTCTGTGTCCCTCCCTGCCCCAGTTCAGGGGCTCCGGCCCACTGTCACCCCGCGGTCTCCGTGCGGGCTGGTGCGTGCTCTGCCCAGCCGCTCTGCTGCCTCCCGTCCTCCGTGTGCTCAGACGCCATGGGAAGGAGCGTTTACCAACGTCCTCTCTTGTAACAGCAGCACCGGCGACCTTTAGTCAGCAGGTCACAGGCCACCCAAGCCAGAGAATTGAGCAACTAGGAGCACACGTGCTGGGTTATCACCAGCCCCAGCATCTGTCCTCCGGGGCTCCTTGCCTTTTTAAGAACTGTTACGTTGCCAGCTAAAAGGACACGCGTGTCCCATGATGAAATTCCTGGGACCTTCCCAGCTGCCCCTAGAGGACCCTCCTGTATTTGTCAGATCTCTCAGATTCGCTCCAAAAGAGGGACGTCCGGGGACCCTCCTTGGACTCGCCCGATGATGGGACACCAGCGTGCTGGCCAGCCCTGTGGGAGCCCGCACACCCTCAAAGGGTTGTTCTCAGGGTTCAGTGGCCTCCTCTGGCCCCCGCCCCTTTGATGCCACCGTTCTCCCAGAGGGTCAGAGTCCCCAGGCGTCGGCTCACCCCTGCCGGGAGAGGATGGACGCCACCAGGGCTGTGCTTCTGAGCGCCCACCTTCACCTGCTGCAGGTGTACCCCCCGTGGGGCGGGGAGGAGGTAACCCGATGCCAGGGGCCATGACAGAATGGTCACCAGTTTCCACTACTAAAGGGAATCAGAGTGGGCTTGCTGTGGAAGTGGTGTTTCATTTCAGGGGTTCATTTCCCTCCGCAGACGTGAGCGGGAGGGTGTGGTAGGGGGTCCTGGGTGTGCGCCCCAAGACTCCGAGGGCCTTTCTGGGCACTGCAGCCCCTGCCCCTCGCTCTCCTCCAGCTTCTCCAGGAACCTCGGTGGTGCCCCTGGTTCTGGCACCTGCGTCCTGGCTTTGGGGCGGCCCTTTCTCTGGGTCCTGGGAAGGGGGAACGGGGATCGGGGAGGAGGGCAGCCTGGATTAGGGCCCGGAGCTCCGAGGTGGTCCACCGGGGGTCGGGTCAGCCACACGCAGGGAGGGCGCGGCCAGCCTGACATTGTTTATTTGCATTCCAATCAACCTACACACGTCCCAGCTATTTATAACCCTGGACCTTGTCCTGGATTCCTGGCCCCACTGGTCTCTCAGGCGTTTTCCCAGCCAGGAGCTCAGCAAGGCACCTGGTCCCCGGGAAGCCTGCCGCTGGGTGAGTCTGGGGTGTCGTTCACCTCTTCTGTGGCTAGACTTCAGAGGAGGACCCAACAGGTGGTGACACGTGGCCCCTGTCCCTCCCGGGGCATGTGGGACGTCAGCTGCTCAGCCCCATCCTGGCCCTGCCCCTGACAATCTCTCTCCTGCAGGAGGCGATGGAGGGGAGCTGGTCCTGAGCACTGCGTGCGGCCGGCGGCGGTGGCCCCTGGACAGCGAGATGACCCCGGAGCACAGGGACGTCCTGGTACTGCTGCCCACGCGGGAGCAGCTGCGGCTGGTCGTGGGGGTGAGCAGGGGGAGAATAGAGGGGTGAGGTGGCCATGGGGATGAGCATGCAGTAACCAGAGGGGGAACATGGGGTGATGTCGGGGAGAGGCGGGAGGACAGTGGGGGCTGTGGAGGTGAATGGGACATGGGGGTAGACAGAGCCTACATCCAGGGGTGACCATGGGGATTGTGGGGGACCGGTGTGCTCACTGCCCTTCCCTCTTGGACAGGATCCTCTTATTTGATGCCACACTGACTGGGGCCACAGTAAGAGGAAATTTGCTCTGGCTCTGGCCACCTTCGCACAGTGCTGGTTTCTCTCTCAGTCTCCATCCCACCGTGTCCGGTGCCCTGAGCTGAGCACTGCCCAGTCCCATGGTGTCCGGTGGCCTGAGCTGAGTGTCAGCCGGTCCCACCATGTCCAATGTCCTGAGCTAAGCTCCAGCCTGTCCCACAGTGTCCAGTGTTCTCCCGGGTTGACTTCCTTCCGAGGGCCCCATCCCGTCAAGAGCTTCTTCCTGTGACCGGGGTGTGAGGATCTGAGTGTGGCTGTGTCCCCAGCCTGGCACAAATGCCAAAGTGCACTTGGAGAAGGAGATTCAGGCCCGCGCGACGGGAGTGCAGGCCAGGCCGTCCCACCTCGTCTATCTTCGGGGACCCTGAGGCCTCCCGTCTGGGAGGTGAGAGCCGCAGGTCTGTTCTCCCAAGAAGGTGACACCGTTAGGAAGTGAGACGCTGCATTTGTGCATCACTTCCATCCCCAAACACCACAGCATTCAGACGGTCCACGCACACGCACAGCTCACGTGGCCCCGGGTGAGCATCTGTACGCATCCCTGGGCCTTCCTTGCCTTCCTGCTTCCCTGTCCGCTCTGGGCTTCGAGAGCACCTAGCTCTCAGTGAGCTCTCGATGGCCCGGGTGCACCTGAGTCTCGAGGGAGGTGACTTTTCTCTGACATCCTTCTCGAGCACCACCCGGCCTCCTCTCCCTTCCTGCTCCACGGTCCCCAGCCTCCCACCTGACGCCCACTGGTGACGCCCGTGTGACCCGGCCACCTGGCCTCCCTCTGAAGGACAGCCACTCCGTGCTGTGCAGCCAGCACCTGGGGTTCTCTGTGATGGTGCTGGGGAGATGCCCCGTTGACCCGTACCCATCACCTCACACAGGCTGCCCTTTTATGAGAGGTGTCAGTTACACGACTCACTGATTCATTGATTCTCTCAACTTCTCGATGATCGCTCACTGCTGGTGCGGCAGGAGGCCACCAAACTCTGAACCTGAGTGCTCACGTCTGCGAGCCTGAGCCCGCCAGGCTCCACAGCCCCTTTGTGTAAAGCGTAGACCAAGCATGGAATTGTAGCGTTCTTGGGAGGCTGACGCCTGAGCCCAGGTGGAAGCATTAGGCTCTCTGGACAGAGTGGTGTGGCTCTTCCGCGAACTCCCTCCAGATCATCCAGCTGTAGAAACATCTGAGCCAGAGACCTAAGACGTTGCTGTGTGTCCCCCTCGTTGCACACAGTCTTTCAGTATTGACCCAGCCTCTGATGACCCCGTGGCTGTGAGGACCGCACAGCCCTGGAGACCTGGCTAACCCGAGTGTGCAGGCGTGCCCTCCTCACCACGCTCGCCTGCTCACAGTCCTACAGGCGCCACCGGTCACCCGGGGACAGAGCGGTTCCCAAGCAATCACTTTCAGGCGACCCGTGGTCACCGGGAACGTCAGCCAGCATCTGACCTCACCCTGCAGACTCAGTCCTGCTCTCTCCTCCCTCCCTGGCAAAGCAGCGTCCCTAAGTAGGGGACGAGCTCGGGCTCCGCTTTTCCCAAGAGCTCGTGGGATGGGGCAGGTGGTGGGGAGAAGGCCCTCGAACACAGGGCTTCTCCATGGGGCAGCCGTCTGGGGAGCCAGGGCATGCAGACACCCCCTGCACTGTACATCAGCTGTTGGGGTGCGTGGGGACTGAATGAGAGCAGACACCAGTGGGGACACTGGGTGAGCAGTGGGGTGAGCCGCCTCCCACCTCTTTTGCAGGTGCAGGCCACCGGGCGCGAGCTCTTCCAGCAGGTGTGTGACCTGACGAGCATCCGGGAAGCCCACTTCTTTGGCCTCAGTGTGGTCAGAAGTAAGCAGGCATTGCCCCATATGACCCTACCCCAGGGACCCACCACCCATGGGCGCCGGCCTCTGCCAGGCTGGGGGCTGACTCTGAAGGAGACCCCAGGCCTCCGCCTGGTGCCCACCCCACGCCCACATGTTCCAATGAGCACCCAGGCTATCTGGGAGATTCCGAGCTGCATCTGAGCACATTCGCTCACACACTCACATACACACTCAGTCACACACACTCACATACACATGTAATACTGACACACATGTGCACACTGTTACAGACATAGTGGCATGTATGCACACACGCACACTTACATATTCACACATGCACACACTCACACTTTTAACATACACGCAGAAAAAACACATGCATGTATACACGAACACACTCACATATCCACACACACGTACACTAACATGTATGCACATGCACACTCATGCACACACAGTCAAGCAACACTGCACATATGCACACACATACACACTTGCACACATGCTCAAACTTACACACACACTCATAAATGCATGCACATACATACACATGCTTGCACACTCACATGTACTCACTGTCCCTTCTCAGGAAAGAGTGGGAGAGCAGACTTCCTTGCTCATTCTGCACTTTCTGAACCCCAGGCTACCTCCTTTGCTTTTGCTCTCCCAGGAGCTGTTTGTAGCCAGGGTTCTGCAAACACTTGTCCGTAGCAGAGTCCTGGTCCGGGGAAACCTCCCGGGGTTCCCGTAGAGGAAACCTACGGGCGGATGCGCTGGCGGGAGGCAGGGCGGAGCCCGGCCTCATCTCCCTGCCTGGTTCCCTCTGTGAGCCCCTGGCTCCATGGACGAGCGCTGAATGGGAGCAAGGTGAAGCCGAGGGGCTGCCTGTCAGGGAGCCCCCGGTGCTGATCCACACGGTGCTCTGACAGGGGGCATGTGAGCGCCCAGCTGTGCCCGAGGAAGCAGATGGTGCTGCTGCATGCAGTTTGTTACGTGACAAGGGTGGGTCTCATCTGTCACTGGGGGCTCCAGGTTATCAGCACAGGGAACTGCTTACCCCAACCAAGATGAGGAGATGGACAGACGGAGACGAAACATGTCAGCTCTGTCACAGCCCACCCTCTGCCTGATCCTCTGGCCTCTGCCCCGGTGGCCGAGCATCCTCCCTCAGTGTCCAAGTGAGAGAGGAGGGGAAGAAGGGGAGGGGATGTCCCTCACAGTAATGGGGTACTGAGGGCTCCGGCCCCTTCCACGGCCATGTGGCAGCTTTGTCCTGCAGACTTTAAAGTATTTTTTCTGAATGACGCAATCCTGCTGCAGCTCCTATGTGATGTGTCGGGGTCATATCCCCGTGTTGGATTTTTTCACTCTCAGCTGGCAGAGAAGGTTCTGGAATTGGGGTCCCAACCCTTCCAGGCTCAGACAAAATTGGGAACTACAGAAAGACGGTGCTACAGGCCTGCGGGCACGGCACCCAGCCTGGGGTTCGTCCCTTGAAGGATCAGATTCCAGTTTTGCTATTAAATTTTAATATCAGTGGACTTTTCCCAGTTTGCAGGGGGAAGCTGAGTTAATGGGTAGCTTTGCCCCAATTTGCTGTTTTTGTCCACAGCCACCGTTTTAACTGTTGGACTCTGGCCGCTCTGTGTCTGGGTACCCATAGACAGGAAATCAGAGGAAACCCGTGTTTATATAGAAGAGTGACTTATGGGGGGGGGGGGTGCGCCCGTGGTTGGGTCTTGTGCTTCGTACCTGTCATCTTGTTCTAGAATTGTTCTGCTCGCGGGACCGAGGTCATCCTTGCTGCGGAAAGCTCCCGGCTCCTTGGTGGGCCCTGATGGAGGCCCAGTCTGCAGGGAGAAGGCTGGGGACCCCACTGGCTTCACAGACGAAGGTCTCATCTTACAGGGCGGAGCCCACCTGCGTGAGCAGGCACCCCAGGCAGAGAGGGGAGGCAGTGACACTCGGTGAATTCATGGTGGAAGTCTGCTTAGACCTGATGACCTGGGGTGATGCAGGCTTTGGGTGCCCTGTCCCTCTGGGTGTGGGCTGTGCACGGACGGGCATGCAGGGAATGTTCCGGGCTCAGGTGAAGTGGGCTGGTGTGTTGTGGATCTGGACTCAGGAATGAAGAAACACCCGAAGGCCCCGGGGCTAGACGCTTTGTTGGGGCGGGCGGCGTCTTTGCCAGCCGATCAGGCGCCGTCTGGGGCTTGTCACCCGGCATCCGGCCTCTGTGGTGCGTGGGGTCGTTGTGGGCGGGAGCTGCGGCCACTTCTCCTTGTAGCTGTTCCCCAAAACACGAAGGGAGCCAGGGTGCCCTGGTGCTCCTTCGCTCTGAGATCCACTCCAGAGATGGCCAAGCTTACTATCAGGCATCAGTTCTGTCCTTGGGGTCTGTGGTTGGTGTCCCCTGCCGCCGTGTTTGAAATGAAAAAATCAGCCTGGAGGAAAGCAAGGAGAAGGTTGGATGTCCACGCTCTGCTCTATTATGCGAGGGTTTAAAGTGTCTTTAACAAAAAAGAACTCAGGAGGGAGTCACGAGATGCCCCAGAAACCCTGGGGAGGGGTCTGTTGCTTTTATCACGGGTCAGATAAACACAAGGACACGTGCTGGCATGTTGGGAACGGTCGTCTTGGGAGAGCTGCGGGCTGGGTTTCTGCTCCGTTCTGTCTTCTGTGCATTCGAGTTTTCTGCACTGAGAGCACACTGCTCTCCTAAGTGGGAGGAAGCCTCAGTGCATCCCCTATCCCAAACGGGGGCCTTCCCCTGGAGGGAGAAGTGGGCCTTGACCCAGAGCAATTGTGTTGGCCATGCTCAGTGTCTCTCTGCCACCTGCTGCCCCGGAGCATTCCAGAAAGAATGCCTTTCCTTCCCCAGCCATCTTTGGCTTCGGGGTGCTCTTAGCAATGAGGTGGGCGAATCATGATTGCTGTCTGCACGGTTTTAGAATTGCCTGGAATTCCTCCGCGACCTGGTGCCAGCAGCCCGATGCCCCACTCTCGCCCAGCTCTCCCGGCACCTGCGAGCTGCGGGTTTGCAGCTGTCCCTCCCGAGACTTGCTGCAGCCACCGACACTCTAGCTTCTGTCTTTTGTTTTCCAAAATCTTGGCTGCCTTATATCTCATTGTCACCCACCCCTGTTACCTCCATAGAATTCTGCAGACAGACAGCCCTGTGTGCTCGGCCTGGTCTGGACCCCCGAGCTCACGCATCCTCATTTTTACAGGCGGCCCGGAATTCCATCTGTGAACTTCCCACCTCCGGCCAGAGGACCATGAGAGTGGCCCACCTTTCCCCGGATCAGCGGTGCTGTGACGAGCATCCTATAGAACACCCCTTCTCTCACCTGTGACATTATGGCCTTAGATTAAACTCTTAGAAGCGGGCTTACACCTTCCAACACAGACACGTTTCACGTTTTAATGGATGCTGGCAGCTGCCTGATGGCAACGGAGTCAGTCCCGGCCACGTGGCCTGGGGGCAGCTTCCGACCCCGGTTTGCACTGGCCGTTAAATCTGACCAGCATGATGACCACTTTCAAAAGTGAGCATTCGTGTGCCGAGAATCTTGAGCCGGATTTGGGCTCAGAAGGCTGTGTGGACCCGAGAAGGGATTCTCAAGAGGCGGGTTCTCCCGTGAAAGGGTCACCTCGTGTGGGGGGTGCAGTGGTTGTCCCTCCACCCTCAGCCCTCGGGGGAGTCAGTGACGCCTCTTCACCCCGCCATGTCCACTCCTGCCCCTCCTTCTCCAGCTCTCCGTCTGACCTCGTTCAGCCTGGACTTTCCACTTAACTTTTTCTGATCCCCTAGTTGAAGTGTTGGGACCGTAGGACACACTGTGGTGAACAGTCAATGGTAGAAAAAGTGGGTCTTCAATGAAAACTACCTCTCCATCCCCCCAGGGAACCTGCAGAGGGTTGGGGGGTCCTCCCAAAAGGTCCCCTTGTAGATTTTTCGCAGTCCAGGCCCCCACCCAGGGAAGAGCGGGTCTGAGAGGGTCAGGCAGGCGTTGGGGGCCGTGGGGCGGCTCAGACCCCCAAATCCAGCCCTCGCCACCCGATCCTCTGCCCAGCCTGCTGGAAGGAGCAGGGCCCTGGGCTCCCCGCTCCCAAGGGCCGGGCCTCTCTGCAGACCCCAGACCCTGCAGACATCTCTTCTCCCCCACTCCCCACGGGGGACGCAAGGGCTGCTTGGTTCCCACAGTCCTAGGATTGATTACAAGGCCCACAGCCGAAAAATTTCATTAAGTTTGGAATGTGGCTGCATTCCAGAGGGCTGGGGAGGCCCGGGGGAAGCGTGGAGATTGGAAAGTGGGCTGAGCCCTCCCCAACAGAATGTGCCCCTGGGCGTGGGGCGTGGACGGCGCCACTCCCACCACCGGGCAGAGCTCCTTAGACCCAAAATGGAGCCTCCATGGGCTTTTCCGGCCCTGCCCAGCCCCTGGAGGCTGCACTGGACCACGCCCTCTGTCCCACGTGAATTACTTTTAAAACTGGGGACACGCAGAGTCTTAGGGACCGGGGTCCTCACTGTGCTGAAGGCATCTGAAAGCAAATCGGGGTCTTTGTGACTGACTGAGCGGCCAGTCCAGCTTTTCCCTCAGGACCTTTGAGTCTTAGACGTGGAAGAGATGCTACGATTTTTTTTTTTAGAGCAGTTTTAGGTTCACAGCAAAATTGGGTGGCAGGTAGGCGGACGTCCCATAGACCCCCTGCTCCCCTGTCTGCATGGCCAACCCCAATACAACGTCCTCGCCAGAATGGGACATCGGTTACAACTGACGAGTCTGCACTGACACACCATAACCACCCAGAGTGCATGGTCACACGGGGTTCACATTGGCTGTTGTGCAGTCTAGGGTTTAGACAAATGTGCAATGACGTGTACCCACCATCACAGGACCGTACAGAGTATTTTCACTGCCCTAAAAATCATCTTTGCTCCACCCCTTCATCCCTCCCGCCCCCCCCCCCCCCCCCCCCGCCCAGCAACCACTAATATTTTTTTCTGTCTCCATGGTTTTGCTTTTTCCAGAATGTCTTATAGTTGGGATCATACAGGGTGTCGCCTTTTCAGACTGGCTTCTTTCACGTAATAATGTGCATTTGAGGTCCCTCCACGTCTTTTCATGGCTTGCTAGCTCATTTCTTTTTAGTGCCGAGTAAGATGTCATGGTCTGGAGGTACCACAGTTCATTCATCCATCACCCACTGAAGGGCATCTTGCATTGCGGAGTTCTGACCCTGCGTCTGTCTGCCCCTGCTAGCAGGATGGTCGGGTGGAGCGAGGAGGTGGCCTGGTCAGGGTGGAGGGCTGAGGAGGCCCTGGGCGGGGCCGGGTTCCCTGGTGGTTTGTTTGGGAGTGACACACAAGGATGGTCTCCTGGTTCAGGGCTCCGTTTATCTTTCAGTCACAGCTGGAAGCTGCAGGGAGGGGGCAGGGGGGGTGGGGGACCCCGGGGGACATGGTCAGATGGGAGGGGAAGGAGGGCTCACCAGGCCCTTCAGGGGCAGCCAGCCCAGGAGCCCCAGCATCTCAAAGCCCCAGGCTCCAAATTGTGAACCGAGAGCTTGGGACCGAAGGGTCCTCAGAAGGGACAGTGCTCGAGCTGACGTCTCAGGGCCCCTCAAAGCCATGTGAGGTGGTCTCTGTCACTTCCTTTGAGTCCTGGGAGGAATGGACCCCGATGCTAGTCCACTCGGGCTGCCGTGACAGACACCACAGATGGGGTGGCTCAGGGGACAGAAATTACCATCTCAGGGTCTGGAGGCTGGGGTTCCCAGGTCAGTTGTCAGCAGGGCTGGTCTCTCCTGAGGCCTCTCTCCTGCCGTGGAGATGGCCGTCTGCTCCCTGTGTCCCCACATGGTCATCTCTCCTGTGTGTGTCTGTGTCCCCATCTCCTCTTATTACTGGGACACCAGTCAGGAGATAGGGCTCATCCTAGTGGCCTCATTTTGCCTTAATCACCTCTGTAAAGGCCCTGTCCCCAAATTCTGTCACATTCTGAGATGCTGGGGTTGGGGCTCCAACATTATGAATTTGGGGGACGCAGTTCAGTCCACAACAGGAGCCACACCTGATCCTGGTGAGAATGGGGAGACACAGAGAACTTCCCTCCCCCTTCACCGGACGTCAGGGTGGGCCCCGCATGCCGGCCAGGGACTGGGGGGACCACCGTGCCTGGTGACCCTAGAGCCACCTCCCAAAGCAGAGGCTGCTGGGCTGCACGGTGGGCCCCATCCTTCACCCCCTGACACTGCAGAAGCCTCCCCAGGCATCCCCATCAGAGCCAGGACCAGCCGGACCAGGGCCTGCCCTCTGTCTCCACGTACGAACGCCGCCTGCGGGGTCTGGGGCTGGCGTGTCAGGCTGCTCTGCTTGTCACCAAGGAGGGGCCCACACCATGGCAGCTGGAACTGAGGTGGTCCCAGACCACAGAAATGGGTGAAGAATAACCCTGCAACGTGGCCTTGCTGGCACGCTCTTGCCATTGGGCCCCGCCATGGCTCCCACGATCCCTGCTCCTGGCTCTTCCTGGTGACAGTTTCCTCCTGGGCGTATACGGGCAGCACAGGTCATCTCGAGCCCGCCCTGAGCCCTGATAGGAACAGAGAGAGACTCTCTGGGTTTACGTTCCTCTCGAGAATAATTGCTTCATTTTTCCAGCTTCTAAAGGAAATACGTGGTCATAATGTTCCAGAAGCACAGAAATGTATATTTAGAAAGTCATGTCCCCTGTGACCGCCTTCCTGGTGTAGCCAGGTGAACACAAGTTGTTGACTTGAACTTGGTGGGTTTGGGTCCAGATTTACAGGCGTTTAACTTTTAAAGGACTCCGTTCAGAGCTGGGAGAGAGGCACTGGGCCGGGTCGTGTGGACGGGAATAGTCAAACTGCCCTCCCAAAGGTTACACCCAGTGCGTGTGTCAGTGTCAAGGTCTAATACTCCTCCACTTTGGAGACCGTCTTGTGCAGCCAGCGTGTTTGACATGGGGACACCAGCAACGCGCTCTCTTAGACTGCCAGCCCGAGAAAGCAGCCACAAGCTGCTGTGGTCGGTGCGCCTTCTGTTGCGCATCAGCCTGCTGGCTCGTGGCGACGCTCAGTGGTTAAATGGTGATGCCCAGGTGGCGGGACGGCTCTGACGGAGGCCCCGCGTCTCTCTCTAGACAATGAGTACGTATTTATGGATTTGGAGCAGAAGCTCAGCAAATACTTCTCAAAGGACTGGAAGAGAGAAAGGCATACAGTAAGTCAAACTGCAGGTGGGGGGGCAGGGTAGAGGCGCCCCGGGAGGGTCGCACCCCACGGGACCCCACAGAACGGGCATCCCGTGTGTGGGACGGGCGCTGCGGCGGTCCCTGCTCTCTGTGCAGACGGCCGTCCTGCTGCCCCGCGGTGTCCTGGGGCTGCCTCTTGTGGAGTCGGCCGTGGGGCACAGGAAAGCCAGCGCCACATGGGTCTGAATGAATGCTCTTGAATGCTGCAGACAACGTTCCACTCGGGTTTCCCTTTTTAAAAAGTCAGATAAAGTCGTGCACGGCCCCAGCTGCTAAGACCGGAGCGTAGGCGGAGAGAACGGTGCGGTCGGCGGCCGGCTGCTGAGGGTGGAGTATGTGGCCCAGCTTCTCTCTGCCTTCACCCCGCAGGGAGCCGGGCGGTCCCGGGCCCCCTTCGTGGCCTTCCTCCGGGTGCAGTACTACGTGGAGAACGGAAGGCTCATAAGGTAACTGCCGACATGGTCAAGGGCGTCCCCTGGGACGGTGGAAATCCGCCAGCGGGGTCTGTGGGTTGTGCAAAGAACGTGACCGTGCTGTCGCTTCGCAGAGATGGGGCCACAGGAACACCCCTCAACGGCAACACGTAGACCGTGTCAGAAAGACGAAGGCTTTTTGCCCGCAGGCACCTTCCTTCTCTGGGCTGGGGGCTTTCCGTGGCGCGAGTGGGGAGGGTTTGAAGATTTCCACTTGACCTTGGAGCTGTGCTTCGCGTGGGGTGTCGTTGCCCTCGGCTGTGCGCTGCGGCATCTGAGCGTGGGCAGGAACGGTGTCCGGGGGGGCGCACCTGGCAGCGTCCTTCTGAGCGACGGGGGCTGCTGTCTTGAGAGAGCCGCCCTGGGCTGGGAGGGTAACTCGGAGCTTCCCGGAACCAGGGGCAGGTGAGCGGGGACTGTGTCTCCAGAGCAGGTGCAGGTGGGCAGGCGGCCTTCCCAGGTGGAGAGATGGGGAGGAAGGGAACGTTTGTGGAAGGTTCTAGAGGGTGAGGGCGTGCAGTTGTGTGGAAGGTTCTGGAGGGTGAGGGCACGGTGGTGTGGAAGGTTGTAGAGGGCAAGGGCGTGGTTGTGTGGAAGGTTCTGGAGGGCAAGGGTGTGGTTGTGGAAGGTTCTGGAGGGTGAGGGTGTGGTCGTGTGGAAGGTTCTGGAGGGTGAAGGCATGTGGTTATGTGGAAGGTTCTTCAGAAGTCATGAGGGAGAAAACTGGAGGTGTGGGGCGATGGAGGCTGGCCGCCCTGTGCTCTGGGGCCACCCAAGGTCACAGTGTCAACAGATCTTGAGCTCGCCCTTCCCAGAGCCGAGTCCCCGGCTCCCGTGCCCGTGGGGAAATGAGCAGACAGAAGGACTCGTCTGCGGGGCACGGCATCTGTACACCAGGTCTGCCCTGACCCAGCGTAGGCGCTTCCCCGGAGGGCTGTGTGGCCGTGGTGCGACAAGACAGGGGCGTGAACACCTGGAGTGCAGGGAGGGCGGGGGCCTGGGCGCGGGCTGTGGCAGGACGGCGGGGGCCCGGTGCAGGCCCCTCACCCAGACGCCCGCTGCCTCCAGCGACAGGAGGGCCAGGCACCTGTACTACTGCCACCTGAAGGAGCGGGTGCTGAGGTCGGAGTGCGCGCACCGCGAGGAGGCCTACTTCCTGCTGGCCGCCTACGGGCTGCAGGCCGACCTGGGCAACCACCGCGAGGCGGCCCACTCAGGGCGCTACTTCGAGCCACACGCCTACTTCCCGCCGTGGGTAAGGCCGGGGGCGCCCGCCCTGGGGACTGTCCCTCGTCCCAGCCGCGGGCGGGGTCCTCGGGGCGGAGCGCAGGAGGCAGCGGGCCCACGGCCGGTGGCTTGTCCCCAGATCATCACGAGGAGGGGCAGCGCCTACATTCTGAGGCACGCACCCGCCATGCACCGCGAGCAGCGTGGCCTGAGCCCCAGGGAGGCGGTGCTGCGCTTCATCAGGGAGGCCTGCCGGCTCGAGGACGTGCCCGTCCACTTCTTCAGGCTGCGCCAGGTCAGAGGGCCGGAGGGGGGGGGCTCAGGCGCACCCCAAGGTACCTCCGTCCCAGGGCCCCAGGGGAGCGGAGCCCACAGGCAGCCAGGACTCTGACCCAGGCCAGGAGGGACAGTGCCCCCACGGCTGACCTATGACCAGATGCTGATGCAGGACAGGAGGGACAGTGCCCCATGGCTGACCTGTGACCAGGACTCTGACCCAAGCCAGGAGGGACAGTGCCCCCACGGCCGACCTATGACCAGATGCTGACGCAGGACAGGAGGGACAGTGCCCCACGGCTGACCTATGACCAGATGCTGACGCAGGACAGGAGGGACAGTGCCCCATGGCTGGCCTGTGACCAGGACTCTGACCCAGGACAGGCGAGTCAGGCGTCCTGACACACGGCTGCTATTGAGTGACGGAAGTAGCGTCTGGGTGGTGGTTATATCATGGACTTAGCGTGATGGGTTCTCCAGTGTGGACAGGTTAGATTAACCTTGTATGGAATGTCCTGGAACCAGCCCCACTGGGCTCTCCTGTGGTCAGCTCCATCCCGCCTAAGGTTGGAACAGGTGAGGCCATCAGCGAGGGCTGGCCCTGGAGTCTTCCTGCTGGCATCCACACACAATGCAGCCTTGGTTCTTGGGAAGGCCCTATGCATGGGGTGGTTGGGATAATGGCTTGTCAGGGGTCTAAGGAGCCCAAGGAGCCCGAGTTTCTGGCAAAGTGGAAGTCCGATAAGGAGGGGGAGGCAGGGAGGGAGGAACAGGCCCCCAGCATCAGGAGGGGAGCTGGGAGGGGCCGGGGAGCCTAGCCGGAGCCCAGGCCAGGTGGACCTCAGGGGCCCCTGGCCGACCTGACTACACCCTGCCCATTGGTGAGGAGGCCCACCCACCCCAGGCACAGGGCTCTTGACCCCTCTGTCATCGGTGTCTCTTTAGGACAAGAAGGGAGAACAGCCTACCATCGTCCTGGGACTGACCCTCAAAGGAATGCACATCTATCAGGTGACGGGTGGGCCCCTGGAGCCTCTGGCCCTCCTCCCTCCTTCTCTCCCCACCATGAAAGGCTGGCCTCACTGCCCTGCTCTGGCTGACCCTCGTGGACACGGCTGGTCCTGCTGTCTTGCAGGAGGTGAACCACGCTCTGCAGCTGCTGTATGACTTCCCCTGGTCCCACGTTGGGAAGCTGGCCTTTCTGGTGCGTCTGATGGGGTCGAGGTCAGGGGTTGGGGGGGGAGCCTGGTGGACGCTTGTCCTTCAGGGCTTTCACTGGGCCTTCCATCATCCATGAGACGTAGGCACCGCTAAGACCCTGTGCCAGGGGGTGTCCCAGGCCTGGCCCTTTGCAGCGACTTTCTGGCTCCTGTGCAGAGAAAATAACGGGAAACGAGGAGCAGTCACAGAAATGTGTGCTAGCCCGTGGCTTCCACACACCCTGTTCCTGTAGTCCCAGCCCCATGCGGTCACCCTGGGGCAGGCCTGGCACTTGGGCGCAGGGCTGGGCACTGAGGGCCCTGGACGCAGGCTCACTGTCCGCCGACCCTTTCTCTGGACAGCAGAACTGAGGCCTGGCATCCTGTCCTGGACTACGTGCATCCCCACACACCCGGCGGCCACGGGAGGTGTCCAGCCCTCTCAAAACCGAGTGCAGAGTAGGGTGCCCCCTGCCTCACAGTGACCCCCAAAACCCACCTGCGTGTGTAAATCAGATCTGCAAAACAGAAACACTGGTGGCATCTCCGTTTGGGTTACAGCTGATGTTTAGGACCCTTGCTCCTGTTGCCCGACGGCTTGCCTGTAAAATTACATCTTGTCTCGTCTTTGTTCAGGGGAAAAAGTTCGAGATCCGGCTGGACGGCCTGCCCTCGGCCAAGAAGCTGGTGTACTACACGGGCTGCGCCTCGCGCTCCCGTCACCTGCTCCAGCTGCTCAGCAGCAGCCACCAGCTCCACCTCGCCCTGCAGCCCCTCCTGCGGCAGCTGCGGGAGCTGGAAGAGGCCGAAGGTGGGCGCTGGTCCATGTCCACAGGTGCTGACGGGAGGTCCCAGGGCGGGGGGCAGTGCAAGGGCTGCAGGAACCCCCGGGCGGTTCCTAGAAGTCCCAGCTGTGCATGTACAAGTGTGTGTGTGTGCACGTGTGAGTGTGCGAGCATGTGTGTACCTGTGTGCATGCATGTGCATGCCTGCTTGCATGTAGGAGCCGCTTAGGGGCTCCTCAAATTGAGAATGACACGAGAGCCCCAGGAAGAATTATGACAAGAGTACACCTTGAAAGTTTACCAGCTGCAGGTGACACATTCCATCTGGGTGGCCTGAGCTGTAACCGTGGACACGCAGGGCCCTGACCTCTGGGCAACACCACCCTCCCCTCACACTGCATCTCCCAGGGCTCGGCGCCAGCTCAGGGCACAGACTGTTGGCAGGACCCCAGGTCACCGCTGGCCACTTGCGGCTCCTGGAAGCTTCATCCGTCTCGGACGCCCGCCCTCACGTCTGCTGTTCCTCCTCTCCTGTGCAGAGAAGAAGTGCTACCGGGAGTCCTACATCAGCGACACGCTGGAGCTGGAGCTGGACCCAGTCGGCGGGGGCTCCCCCAGTTCCCCCAGCAGCAAGGACAGCGGGCAGCGTCCCCCCCACCGCCTCTCACTTCTCTCGGCCGATAGCCACGGCAGCTCCCACACGTCGGGCGTGGAGGCCGACTCGCGGGCCCTAGAACCCGGGGAGATGTCGGTGGACGAGCCCTTCGTGTCAGAGCTGTTCTGCGGGCAGGTGCCATCCTGCAGCTCTAGCACCAGCCAGTGCAGCAGTGGCATGGATGGTGGCGGGCCCAAGGGGGACGCCCGGGACCAGAGGAATGGTGAGTATATGGCCCGGCTAGCTCCCGGCTCGACCATCACTGTGGGCGCCAAGGGAACAAGGGCATCCCCAGAGAGACCATGTGACCGTGATTCCTGGGGACCCTGTGGGGTGGTGGGGTTCCCACCACCACAGGGCGGCCTTGAGGACGGGGGTCAGAAACAGCAGGACGGGATCCTCCCGGCGGCTGTGGGGGGTAGAGGTCCTGCAGCCCTCTCTGAGCTGGTCACAGGAGGCCCTGGGACTTGCCGCTTCCTGCTTGTGGTCCAGCCGGGAGAAGGCGTCTCAGCCAGGGTTTTCTCTTGTTACACCTGGGTTCAGCAGAAGTCACTTGACAAGAGATCGTCAGCTCAGCACGAACTCCTTGTCCTCAGGGATGCTCCACGGCTGATCCAGGAGTGCGGGGCCCTGAAGTGGCTCCCTTGTCACCCCAGGAGGGTTACATTGGCTCTACTGTTTCCTGAGTCTCTGCAGCACCCCTGACAGCAGATGTGACGAGTGAACAGGGTGACCTCAAGGGCCTGGCCACCCAGGTCACATAGGGACACCCAGCATCACCCGGGACCACCCATGGCCACCCAAGGCCACCCAGGGTCACCTAGGGCTACCCAGTGTTACCTATGGCGACTCGGGGCCACCCAGGGTCACCCTGGATCACCTAGGCCCACCCAGCAGCATGCAGGGTCATCCATGGCTACCCAGGGTCACCTAGAGCCACCCAGCACCACCTAAGATCACCTAGGGCCACTCATGGCCACCAGGGGCCACCCAGGATTACCTAGGCCTACCCATGGCCACCAGGGGTCACCCAGGATCACCTAGGGCCACCTAAGGTCACTCAGCATCACTCAGGGCCACCCAGCATCACCCAGGGTCACCCAGGATCAGACGGTCTTGGTCACTAGCCTGCCACAGTTTTACATTCTGAGTGTCTGGTCCACGGGTAAAGGATGGATTGGCCTTCATCTCTGAGATTTTGTCCAAGTGTGTAGTGTGCGCTCCAGCGTGAACAGTAACAGAAATGCCACATTTGCCTAGTCCCAGCCCATCTGGACTAGACATCAGAGTATTTGGTTAGCCACAGCGGCCATGTGTGTAAGGACAGGGCAGTGTGAGCCTGCGGGCAGGGGAGGGCCCTGTGGGGAGGCGGCCTGGGCTGGGCACTCACTTCCACGGGCGGGGACCACCTGAGCGAGGAGGAGCCTGGTGGCCCACAGTGTGCTGCACGGAAACCGTTGTCAAAGGGCAGGCAGAGGGGCCGGCTCCGTGGCCGAGCGGTTAAGTTCGCACGCTCCGCTGCGGCGACCCGGGGTTCGGATCCTGGGCGGCGACATGGCACTGCTCGTCAGGCCACGTCGAGGCGGCATCTCACATCCCACAACTAGAAGGACCTGCAACTAAGATATACAACTATGTACAGGGGGAGCTTGGGGAGATAGAGCAGGAAAAAAAAAAAAAGGGGGCAGGCAGACGCCTCATGTAGGGAACTTGCTGATGGTGTCCACCATCACAGATGTCCTTCTGCCCACCACTGCTCTGTGGGGGGGAGGCCCAGGTCACTGATGAAGTCATGGCCCCCCTCTCTGCGGCTCTGACAGCCGCAGGAGGAGAGGACGTGGGGGCCACAGAGGTTCCGGGCTACATCTCAGAGGATCCCCAGGGGAGAAGTATAGCAAGGGGGGGCTGCCATCTGAGGGGTGCAGGAGGTTGTCTCCACCCTGCTCACACGCCCTCGCCTCCTTGCACACAGCCTCTCACCCAGAGCCCCTGTCGGTGGTGCGGGTCACGCTGCTCAGGATGAGGCGCCGGAGCACTGAGGCCCTGTGCCAGGTACGTACCCCCCTACCCCCCATCCCCCCAGCAGCCACAGGCCCTGCTCCTCCTCCCTGCTCTCCCAGCCGGACCCACCTAGGCCACTCGAGGGTCCCTGGGCAGCAACCCCTGGAGCCACAGCTGGGCAGTGGGGGAACAGGCCTTTCAGAGAACAGGGCGGCCGGGGGCTGGTTTTCCGGGGTCTGGGTGAGCTGCCTTGTGTGGGGGGCTCTTTCCTGAGCTGCTCACTAGCTCCATGGCCGCGTGCGCTCCACCATCCACCGTCCAGGGTGGTGGGTCTCCGTGTGGGGCTCTGGGGGGCTGCTCCAGGCCCCTCAGAAGTAGGAGAAAGGGCCACAGTCAGCGGTTCTGGGGTGCGCGGGGAGGGGACGGGCTGGAGCCGATCTGGGGGTGGCGCCCCTGGGAAGAGAGAACATCAGGGAACGAGACGAGAAGGGCGCGGTGAGGACTGGGCCAGGGGAGCCTCTGCACGAGGCGGCTGAGGGGCCGGGGGCAGCCTGGAGGACCGTGAGGAGGCCTGTGGGCATCCCCAGTGGGGACAGCACGTGCCAGGGCCCCAGGCCAGCGCGCGCCTGGGCGGGAGGTCGGGTCAAGGGCAAGGCGGGGTCGCGATCGGAGGGTGCAGCCCAGACCGGAGGCGGGGCCCTGACGCTGCGGCAGAGACGGGAGGAAGGCAGCTGCAAACGCGCGCGGGTCTCTCCGCAGGTCCCGGAGGCGGAGGACCGCGCCCCAAGCCCCGCGCCCGCCCCGCCCAGCCGCCCCTTGGGGCCGGCAGAGCCCCGCACATGGGGGTCCACGGACTCCCTCTCCCTGCGCCTGCTCGGGGACGACCAGCTCCCGCAGGAGTTCGTGGTGTAGGCGCCTCGCCACGCGGCTCCGCCCATGCGGGGCTCGGTCCACGCAGCACTGCTCCGCCGACGCTGGGCTCTCCATCCATACTGCACAGCTTGGCCCGCACGGGCGGGGCTCGGTCCTGGCTGCACGGCTCCGCCCACGTGGTGCTCTGTCCACACTGCACAGCTTGGCCCACGTGGGACTTCACGGTGCAGGGCTCCACTCATGTGGTACAGCCCCGCCCACACAGCACCTCAGTCCACGCCGCACGACTGGTCCACACAGTGCAGCTCCACCAGAGCCTCGCCAGGCTTTCTACCTCAGGACAGTCTCTGACGCTCGCCCCTTTCCACCCAGCTGGTGGCCTGGTGACCAGGGTTTCAGGCGCCGCCCTCTCTGCCCTGGCCGCCTTTTTCCTGTGTCTTCACCTGTCAGAGATGTGGAGGCTGCTCTGACATCAGGCCTGGAGGTGACCATCAGGTCCCACTTTTCCTGGGGACTACGGCAGGTCCATGCTCTCTCCATCCGGGTCTCCAGGAGGCGAAGCCAAATTCTGGCTGTCCAGACTCTGGCCTAGTAGGGGTCGGCGGTGCTGGCCCCCCTTCGCCCATTCTAATCTGGGAGGGAAGGTGCCTTTGCTGCCCTGGACGATCAGGAGATCCCCGGGGTTCCCTCTGCCACTGCCTCCCTGCTGGACGGTCAGACCAAGCTTGAAAGCCTTTTGGGAGTCCTTGAGCTCAAGGTCACGGTCATTGTACCTGCACTGGCCACAGGCTCCCCCTGGACCACTTGCTCAGCCGTCGCTGTCCCACAGAGGGGACAGAGGCCCCTCTGTGAGGTGTGGGCCCAGCTCTGTTCCTCCAGACCCTGGCAGTGTCCACCATCCACAGGAGGGACCAGGCCCAGAACCGCACAGCTGTGTGGACACCTGGTCCCCTGGGAGCTCCTAAAATCCCGCAGCAGGAAGCCAGAGAGGCGGTTAGGGTAACCCGCAAAGCCGTCCTCTGTATTCTGATACACCCGCGCTCTGCCAGAAGAGGGCCGCCAAGACAGGGTGGAGACCTCAGTTTCTTCCTTCTTTCCCTCCCAAGTCAGGCTGTGAAAGAAGAAGATGACGCTGCGGCCTTCTCCCCACCTCCTTCCCTGAATACCCATCCAGTCCAAGGGCCCTGACCTGTTGTCAGCAGGGGCGTCCAGGGCTCCCAGCCGGGGTCATCACTGGTCACCCTCTAGGGATCATTGCCACTGGGCCCCACCTGGTGTCAGGGGACTGGATGGGAAGTGGGGGCACAGATGGGGCTAGACCGGCTGGCCACGCCCCTCCGTGCCCCGTACCCCTCCCTGTGTCTGGGTGGGAGACGTTCTTCCTCACTTTCACCCCGTCTCTGGCGTCACATCCCGCCGTCACAGCTGCTGGAGCTTCATACTCTACGCCGAGAGCGATTGCTGGAATTGTGTGCTGCCAGGGACTGTTGACTTTCCCTCGAGGCAGCACCCTTGGTGCACTAACAGCAGGCTGTGCGTGACAGCGGGTGCGTGGTCCCAGCCCGGGTCCCACTTGGGGTTGGACCCACATGGGTCTAGAGCACGGTGACGGTGTCTGCAGGCCTGGAGGACCGGCCGTAGTTAATGGCTGTTCTTTCCTTCAAAGTCGCAGCGCCTTGCTGGGGCTGAGGTGCACTCCCCTCGCCCCCTCCAGGGCCCGGCTGGCAGGTGGCCTTCCTCCGAGCACAGTGAGGAGTTGCTGGTGCTGAGTCCAGCTGGTGCAGGGAGCAGGCATTAGCAGACTGGCACCTGTGTCCGCAGGTGGACGGCGCAGCTGGTGCTGCACCTCACCTGCTTCTGTCCCCGGGTGGGCCCTGCATTCCTTCCAGAGGCTCTGGGAGGGGCCGCTCCACAGCAGGTGGGGCTCGATGGGTGACAGCATCCTCCCAGCCTGAAGCTCGTGACAGGCACCGGGGTGTCCAGTGTGGCCTAATTTACCTGTGGATCCCTCAGCCCTCTCCCCTTGCACAGGATCCGCGCACACACCTTGCTGTCCTCTTTTTCTAGGCAAACTGACCTGTAGTTTGCCATCAGATAGTCCCCAGTACTCAGCATTCCCACACAGCCCTGTGCCCCAATACGTCTTCATCCCTCACTGCTCTGCTCGGTGCTGTGAAGACCCCGCAGAGCATGTCCATCACACATGCATTTTGGAGATGGAGGGAGGAGCTTGAGCCCGAGAAGGGGGCGGGGGGTGTGCAAGGAGGTTGATGCCACCCGGGGCCGGGACTCCTGGTCCTTTCTGTGAAAGGAAATCTCGTGTGTATATACTGGGCATGTGTAATAAAGAATCCAAACACACAGCGTGTCTGCACCTGGGCCGGCCTCCCGTGTGCTTCCCGGCCAGCTTCCTGTCTGTACCCAGGCTGGCTTCCTGTCTGCAACCGGGCCGGCCTGCACTGGGAAGGCCAGGAGGCTGGGCTCACGGAATGTTTGCTACCCACTGAGGGCTTCACCCTGTGAACAACACCGTGTCCAATGTTTGCTACCCACTGAGGGCTTCACCCTGTGAACAACACCGTGTCCTAGGGCTGCATGGACAGAGGGACGTGGAGGCACAACCAGCCCACACCCCGTGGAGCAAATATTTATGTAATTCATTTCTTAAAGAAGCATGGAAAGAGACCCTCCTTCATGTGTGGTCTGGGGTTGCCAAAGGGCGGTGCTGCCATGGGGGACAGGCCAGGGGTGGTGGCCTCGTCTGCCCAGCCTTCCCCTCATTAAACATCCTCGAAGCAGGTCGTGCACTGGCACCGGACAGGTGTCAGGTGGGGACGGCACCCCCGACGCAGTGCACTGTGAGGGCCAGGGTCACTGGTGGTGTCACGGGCTTCCTGGGCTGCCCATCAGTACCCTGTGCAGGAGGTACCGACATGCCCAGTTGGGCCGCCCCAGGGCCACCGAAGTCACCGAGCCTGGGGGCTACAAGAGCAAGAAGGTGAGGGGTGAGGGGTGACAGGCGAGCACAGCAGCCTGTGGTCAGGGCCCTGAGGATGGAGGAAGAGCCTCCGGTGCTGTGGGGGCTGGAGCCCTGCTGTCCTGTGACTTTCTGGACCACAGTAAACAAGGGGCTGGGTCTATCCTGGTTTATGCTCTGCCACTCTCTCTTTCTGCTGAGGAAACTGAGGACGCAAGAGCCCAGGCCGAAGGATGGATTTGCTGTTGCACAGAGAAGACATCAGGCAGGCGAGCATCAGGGTGGGGCGGGAATGAGCTGGTGGGGCCAGGACACACGCACACGCATGGACGCGCACACGCACACAGAATGTGGGCAGATCTGGAGAGGTGACGCGGAGCGGTGGAGGAAAGCTGTCGCCTGATGTCTGCTTGGAGCCGGGCCTCACCCATCCTCGGCTGCCACAAGAGGGCGCTGGCGGCACGCTGTGGCTCATGTGGCCGCGGGTGCCCCAGGGCCTGGACGTGCCAGGAGGGGCCAGGATGACCAGGGGCGTGGCCATGGGGTTAGACATGCCTGGGGACAGGCCTGGCCGTGGGATCCAACGTGTCGGGGTTTCTGTCCGGCCTCTCTCAGTCAGTTCAGAGCCTCACGTCCAGGCTGCCCTCTGCCCTGTCACCTCTGATGCCCCATCCTTAACCTGACGGAGGCCTGGACCAGCGCCTGTGTCCTTGGCAGATGTGAGGCAGCAGGGACCGCGGGCTGACCCCAAGACTCCACTGGAACCCTGCTGGGGCTTCCTATTTCTGTCCTTCCTCTGGGCCCTGTGGACAGACTGGAAAATATGCCAAGTGTCCCTTGGCCACGGGGTAATCTCTGCTTGTGGGGAGGACAATGAGAGGCCAAGCAGGGCCCTCGCTGACCCCCTGCCCACAGCACCTCCCTCCCCCTCCCACCCACCCTGAGGAAGCAACAGCCACGCTCACAGTGGGGAGGGGCAGGCAGGAGATGGGGGGCCCCTCCCAGGGGAGGAAGGAGTATCCTCTGGAAAGTCAGAGATACCACCCTGTCCTTTTGTGTAGATTAAGACCAAAGGTCTTTTAGGCAAAACAGGCATTTTCCAGGAAAATGGGTCTTAACTAGCAGGGCACAGATGGTGCCTGAGAAGGTGGGTCGGGGCTGGCGTGAGGCTGCTGAGTGGATGGACTCGCCTACACCCCGAGGCTCGGGGGACCACTCAGCAAGGAGGGGATGTGGCCCCCTGGGAGGCGTGGGGTGTGTCTCCCTCCACACTTGTCAATCAGGTTCCCCCTGGAACCTGAAAAGTGGGCAGCTGGCTCAGGAAATGACCACCAGACTCCCCCAGCCTGGCCTGGGCCAGGTTTTGGTGGAAGCCAGAGGTCAAGCGAGCGGGTCTCGATCCGTGAGAACCCCCCAGGGCTTGTTCAGTGCCAACTCCTGGGTCGACCACCAGGCCTTCTGGGACCTGGGAACCCACATCTCTGACAGTTCCCACCCCGTCTACCCTGGTGTGGGGGGGATGCTGGTGCAGGCTGGAGAGGCATCGGCTGCTGTCCCACGCTGCTGGGATGTGGGACATAACAAGTGCGCCTGGGGGCAGTTTTGTTTGCGGGGGAGGGGCTACCAGGGCAGCTCCGTTTGGGGGGGCCCATCACCTTGGGGAGCCCCCCAGCACGTTGAAGTCACAGGCCCAGGAGTCAGAGCTTATGTCTAACCAGACACCTTCATTCTGGGACCTCTTCTCCTGTGCCCTGTGGGCCCCGGGCCACCCAGCTCAGCCTCCCTCCTGGGAGACAGAATACGGGGTACCAGACATCTTTTCTCCAGAGAAGTCTGCTTGCTCCATGGCCGGGGTGCCCAGGAACCGCTGTGTAGGCTTCGAGGCTGGGCAGAGGAGAGAGCGGGTTGACTGAGGACTGGGGGTCCGTCCTTCAACTGCTCCCAGGACACCCTGGGACATGCCTCACCGGAGGCTCTGATGATGGAGACCGCTCCCAAGCCGAGTGGCAGGGGTGCCCATGGGGCAGGGGACTCTGAGGAGGCCGGCCTCTCTATTCCACGGGGCAGGGGCAGACTGACCACAAGCCCTATGAAGATTAAGCTTTGGGCCCCATAGGTGTGTTCACATGGTTACATTGTTTCATAAAATTTGCAAAACTAAGACTTCTTAACCATAAGTGGTTAAGGCTGGTCTCTCTGTCAGAATTCACTCCATCACTCTCCTGTGGTCATGGGTGGAGCCCGGAGCCTGCAGGCATGTTGGGATCGAGCCAAGGGGAAGCAGCCTCAAAGACATGTTTAGGCGGGTTTGGTGGGAGAGCTCCACAAGGGTCAGGGTCAGGTTACCGCCAGCTGGACGGGGACAGCAGCGGCTTCCAGGAGGACCCCTGTGGCCGCCAGCTCACCCCGTCCTGGGCCAGAGGTCACGTCTCCTGGGGACCACATCCCCAGTGCCAGAGGCATGTGGGGACTGAAGAGAAACAAGGCTGGCGACGCTGCGGCCAGACGCCGCAGGAACGCCTCCCAGTCTGCAGCTCCCGGGCTTGGCCTGGGCCTCCTCGTGTCACAGTAACGAGCTGTGAGCCAAGACGCCTTTCAACTGCCAGAACCTGAGCACAGCCGCCAGCAGCCCGGGAGAAAGCGGGTGTGTCTGATCACAGAGGACCCACGGGGCGCAGGGAGCCGGTGGGGTCAACGTGACAGTGCTGCTACGACTGTCGTGATTATTTGTGCTATTGGCAGCGTTTTAAAAGTCATGAGTCAATGGATTTTAAATTTTTCTCCAAGTATTTATCTTCCTGCCTTAGAATTCATAATCTCCTATATTTTCCTGCAAGAGTGCCCTCCCTCACCATCTAATTATATCCGTTTCAGGCCTCAAAACCCTGGCCTGCTCTGCCCACACCCATCAGGGACTCTGCTGTAGGACCTGTGGTCACAGGCAGCCGGTTTTCAGGGAACGTGTGCCAGAGGCCCCTCTGCTCCCTGCTTCCACGGGGACACTGGTGGCCAGGGTCCTCTCGGACGTGAGCATGCAGCTGTTCTGGCCCACATCACCATCGCCGCCGTCCACTCAGCTCCCAGCAGTGTCAGCATGGGTCCTGAGTCTCACCCTGTGACAGCTGGGCCTCCGGTGGCTTCCCCCTCAGGTCCCTTTGCTGCCGTCACCAACAAGCAGACCCAGCGGCACAAGGCACAGGGTTCGGGGGCAGCAGAGGACGGAGGCACATGCCCGCTGTGCATGGACCACAGGAGGGAGCGCCACGGCGAGCAGGGGAGGGTCTGGAGAGCCCATGCGACCCTCAAGCCCTCAGACAGTGACGTCCCCACAGGGACACCCACGGTGAGGCCAAGATTCAGTTTCCTCTTCCTCCACAAATGAAGTGTTTTCTGCTTCTGCCAACAACGCAGAGTCAGACTGTAGTTTGCATTGTTGCCACCAACACAGAGCACCCGTTCCCAGGCTGGGTCCTTGGCCACTGTGAGGGCTGGGGGCTCAAACAGCCACGACAACGTGCTGACAAAGCCCGGCCAGCCCCCCAGGACACCGGGGGCTGCGCCTGTGCCTGGCCACACGTGTCCTTGGCTCATGGGCACGTTCACCCTTCTCCTCTGAATTCTCCTGTCACTGGCCTGTCGGGGTCCGGCCACGAGGCTCCTGCTGTGAGGCTCACAGTGACTCGGGTCTGAGTGACCCATCTCCAGGGGTAGTCCTAGGGGGCGTCCAGGGCAGCGGGCAGCATCTCCTGGGGTGTTGCTGTCATGCACAGGAGGACACCGCACTGCAGGAAGGGTAGAGCAGGGGGAGGAAGCCTAGGCCACCTGCTCGTGGAGGAAAGGTGGGCGGCCGGGCAGTCCCCCACAACTGGTTGCCTTCTGCTCTGCCCTGAGGAGCCACTAAGGCAGGACCTTCGCCACTTATCAGCCGGCCTTCCCTGTGGGGTCCAGCATCCGTGGGGAAGGCAGCCATGTGTCCCTCACGGGCTGATTACGGGTAACCAGGCAGAGCTTGGCCCAGGGCCCAGTGCTGACGTGTAAAGGGCATTGGTGGGCACCACATGCGGGTCCCTGAGGGCGCACCCCACACAGCGAAGACGCTGCCTCCTCGTGCAGCCCGGGCATCCGGGTGAGGCTCCCTGTGGCCGTGCTGTCCCACAGGGCTGTGACCTGTCCTCGCCTCTCCAGGCGCCTACGTCCTTCCAGCGCCCTCTTCTATCTCAGAATACACGCGGGACCTGCCAGCCGTCATCCCAGGTGCTGCCGTCGTCGGGGTCCTGTGACTGCGCTCCAACCCGGTGGTCCTGCAGGTCTGTCTGCATCTTCAGTCTTTCAATCAATCATGCGCCAAAAGGCTCTGCCCCCTGAGGGACTTTCCGACCTTGGCGAGCAGGTGAGGAACTGTTTTGAGAAGGGAGCTCCCCCCGCTGCCCCCGCCTGCTTTGGGGCCGACCCTCAGGGGAAATTTGGTTCGTTGTGAGCCCTTGAGGGGCATCCTGGAACCTCGTGAGGCGGGTCTCGGGCTGTCACCGTGATGGGGGGTCCTGGGACTCTGCAATGCACAGGACATTCCTGCTCCACGATCGCTCATGTTGCGTCCACAGGACCTGCTGACACCCCACGGGACACTCAGGTGAAAACTGTAGGGCTCCAGGCTCCGGGCCTCACGCTGCTGTCCTCACGAGAGTGCAAACCGAGGGCGGCCAAGACCGATGTGTTTGTAATGATACCAAGAGTTTTCGCCATTTTAGAAAATTGTGTCTCCCCTGGCCACGTTCGTGGGGGTTTCTCACACACAAATATATTTATTTAGCCCTTATTTTCAAACTGTCCACCATCTATTTTCTGATCAGTCTAGCATCTATCAAATTATCAATATTAAAACCCATGAGCGCAAACCGCTCCTGCAGTTCCAGCCGACACGGCGGCGCGCGGATGGGGGACGCAGCCCCGTTGTCTGCACGCATCCATCCACTGGCGCATCGCCCCGAGTGTACCCGCCTCCTGGCCTCGCTGGCCGAGAGCTCAGCCCCGAGAAGGTGCAGGAAGGAAGGGGGAAGGCCAGTTAGTAACCGTGGCCCCAGACGCACTGCCCGCCACCCGCCCAGCCCCGGGTGACAGGAGGGGGGCCTTTCTGGCAAGGCCCTTCTCTCGCGCGCATGCGTGCACGGCCTTCCGTGCAGGGCCCCCCCTGCGTGCACACCCTCCCCGCAGGCGCACACCGGGCCCAGGTTTGCTTCATTTGTGCTAATTACTGGAAACACTTTCTCCCTTATGTTCATGTAAGACCGGCTGTGGTCGGAAAGTAGTTTCCTCCGATTTAAGCCATTTGTGCTACAGAGGCCATCCGCTGTGACACCTGCTTCTGAGCCTCATTTTCGGAGCCAGCCTGGGTTGCTGATGCAAAATCAAGTGTTACTGTGGGTCTGGGATTCCTCGACACACACACCGTTCCTGCCACCCCGCACTTGGGTCTGTGTGGGTTCCCAGAGGAGCGTGCGGTGGTGGTGGCAGCTGGGCCACGGGGAGCAGCCCTGTGGCCTCCCCACACTGAGAGGCCAGCCTCCCCCCTCGCCCTGGCTGTGTGGCCCCCCGGGAGGACATGTGGGAGGTGGGGCCCCTGGCCGGGTGCAGAGGTACGGTCTGGGGCCCTCGCAGCCATCACGGAGCTGAGCCTGTCCTTTGGGCCGGGACCACCCTGTCCCCAGCTTAGACTATGCCACTCACCCCTCCTTCCAAGATGCTGGCTCTGCGTCGGGGAGCTGACCTGGTGGGGAGGGAGTAGCGGGCTGACGGGACCCACTTTGAACCCACTCTGTAGCCGTGCACACAATCTCTGCCAGAGTCTTCCACTTTTCACTCTATTCTTGGATATTAACCCTTTCATTTCTCAGTGTTGAAAAGAGTCTGTTCTGATCGGAACCAAAATGCTAATCTTTCCACCCAGTTCTGAGATTCCTCCCTGCCCCATGCGTGGCAGCCCTTCGCGGGGGTGGGGGGGGGGGGAAGGGCAGCCCCTTCACCCTGTGCACCCCTCTGTTACTTGCTGGTCCTCCTCTCCCTGAGCTGGCTGAGCCAAGGGGCCAGGCCTCACTGACCGGGGTTACTGGAACCTGGGGCAGTGTCCTCTGTGTGAGGTCCTCTCTCAGGGGATCCCCCACATTTGCAGGTCTTTTGGGGTCCCCCACTCACTCCCCCTGCCATGCAGGCACAGCCTCTTCCTGGGGGGCAGAGATGGCTGTGCTGGCCCCAGGGACGCGCTAAGCAGCCGAAGCCCTCCAAACTCACCTGCCCGTCCCCCAAGGACTATGCTGACTGGAGACACGCCCGTCCCTCTTGTGGCCAGCCCCTCTGCAGCCTGGTGGAGCTGCGGGTGCTTCTCAGGGCAGCTTAAAACCACAGGAAATGCCATTACTAGGTTAATGTCATGACAGACTGAAATGGCACTTCCTCATGAACACACGCAGCCAGAGTCCCTGGCGATGGTGGAGACGCTGTCCTCATCTCCAGGAGGCCGGACCGTGTCTGTGCCGGCCGTCAGTGTCATGGGCAGTAATACCCACGGGGTTTGTTTCCCACATTCGCAGCTGCTGGGGTTCAGTGGATGGTCCGTGGAAGGCAGGTGCATTGCTTTCCTCCTCTGATCCCCCCAGAGCCCCGGCATTCTGCCCACAGACCCCCCCCAAGGCTAAGAGCCCACAGTCCTACCACGTGTCACTCGTCCTGCCCAGCTCTGGGACATCAGTCAGCTTAGACAGCAAGCGGCCTAGACGGGGGTATTTAGGACAAGCAATAATAATCCAGAGGCATCTGCTCTTCTGGGTGTGTTTGCATGCACTTCACAGCTCATGGCAGCTTCTTTACAGATGACATGATGGGGCTTCGCGGTGAGTAATTTGTCTGGGGACACAGGGCCACCAAGAGAGCCCACGTCTGTGCTCAGCTCCTGGCACCCCCGTCTGGTCTGTGCCACGTGAGAGAATGGGCAGAGCCTGCTCCTGCGGCCCCTTGGCTCCACTGCAGATGGCAGAGCTCCTTCTGTTCCTCCCTGAGGAGCCCCCTCCCCCTGGGGACCCCCCTGTGCCCCCGGTTCTCTGTCCCCAAAGGAGGTCCCTCCTCCCCTGCCTTGTCCTGGGAACCTCCAGCTGCTTTGACGATCTGTCCTGACTTTTCCTGAGCTCCCGTCAACGTTCATCCTGTTCCCTCAGAAAAAAACAGGTTTATGAAGTTCAAACTCAACAAGTTTATTTTGAGGGCACGTGCATGATAAAGTGATGAGAGGAAACACGTTTCAGGCAAGAGGGAAGCCCGGGGACACGCCCAGCCGTCCTCCCCTCCGTCACCTGGGCGTTCTGGGGGCCACGCGGCCTGCCCGAGCCGGGCCTCGCTGGACCTGCCGCGCCCGGGTCCCGAACCCCAGGCTCTGCAGGGTCTCTGCCGCGTGCTTCCGGCATGGGGACACGCACAGGATCACCAGTAACTTCGCGTCGCCTCCTGTTAAAGAGGAAGTACAACACGCAGTTGGGAGAATTCCAGGGGAAAATACGGCATCTCAAACAGCGTGGAGCCCCAGGCAGGAGCGCCGGCCTGGCCCCCAGGGTACCCCCAGCTCCCCGCCAGCACCGGGAGCACCACAGCCTCCCTCCGAGGCCCCTGGGAGGTTAGGAGACAGTGACCTGGGGAGGGGGAGGAGCAGGGGAGGGCGACGCAGGCGGCCTGGGGACCCTGTGCTCCCCCAGCCTGGCAGGACCTGGGAGGAAACACTGGGCTTCCCCCGCAGGGGACCGACTGGCCTCTTCCTCTGCTTTTAAGGCCCAACAGTGAGGCTGCGCCTCTGCCTCCGCATAAGGAAGGAAAACCAAAGAGGAAGAGGAGGGGAGAAGGAGAAAGGAGAGCACAGCCCTGAGAGGTAAGCACAGAGGGCTCCTGGGACGCCCTGGCCTGGTCCATCCTTTAGCCAACCTCCCACCACCCCTCTCCCTCCCTCCTTTGTTGGGTAGGCAGCCCCAGGCTGAGAGACCCTGTGGATCAGGGCAGCAGGGGGCCTCTGACAGGCAGAAGGCACAAAATGTGAAACCGGGAACAACTCCTTTCTCATCCTTTGCAGAAGGTCTGTTTGCAGTGAAAGAGAGAGACCCCGAGATGAGAGACACAGAGCCCAGAACATTCTGCTGTGGTTATCCCAGATGAGGGGCAGCTCGGCCAGTGCACGCTAGCCCCACCCCGTGTGTTTCCCGTGGTGGGAAGGAGCCCACCAGCCTCCCAGGACCCAAGACTCCCAAGGAAGGAAAAGCCACTTGACTGGTGGGCATATTGGGTAGGAGGCCCTGGGCACGCCCACCCTGCCCGCCCTCGGGGGGGCTCCCTGATCTGCTGGTTCTGGAGCCCCCGGGCGCACAGGTGGCCTGAGCTGGCCCAGGGCCACCTTGGGGAAAGTCTGACTGCAAAGCTCAGCATCAGGACCCCGCCTGCCAGGTGGAGCTGCCTCGGGCGGACCAGCGCTCTCCCGTCCGCCTTCCTCTCATTGGCTCAGAACTTGGGAGTTCAAGAGTTTCAGAGTGAGAGGAAAGGGGTGACACTATTGTACCCCCTCAAACCCCAACCCATAGCCTGATGAGTCCGCCTCTCTGCGGGCTGCCTGTGCCCATGAGGGCCACCTGGGTTTCTGGCACCTGCAACCAGCATGTGGCACAACCATGTGGATACAGTGTGAGGGCCCAGCCACTGCAAATGTCCACACGAGCTCAGCGGAGTACCCACAACTCACGGCCACTGCGTCCAACAGGATGAGAGAGAGGGCATAGAATCCACCCTGTAAGGGACTTGGGACCGAACTGGAGGGGCTGTCATGCGCCTAGTAAACAAGCCAACCCCAGTGTGGGACCACACAGGAGAACGGGGAAGTGTGCAGGTGCTAATGACAGCGCTAGAAATATCAAGGAAGGGACAATGGTGACCCAGAGAGCCAGGAGGCCCCCAGAGGAGGTGTGGCCAGGAGGAGCGAGCTCCCCCCGGAGCAGGGGGACAGCAGTTTCTCCTTCTGGGGGCACCGAATTACCGAGAACATCCTGGAGTAAGTGGGTGAGCTTGCTGTTCCGGTACGGGACGTGGCCTCTGCGCTCCGACAGGGCCCCCAGGACATCAGCCAGGGCCGCCAGGCTCCGGTTGATAAACGATGTCTCCCTCAGGGCTGCTCCTGTCACTCCAGACACGCCTGGGAAAGTGCCAAGACCCAGCCACACGGGGTTAGGATTTGCACCAAATTCTTGGGCGACTTCCAGAAATGAAGCAGACACGTGGAACCGACTTCTCCGGGCAAGCGCGCTCTGCATGGCTGAGCTTGTGAGACCCTCTATCACATTCCCATCCTTCTTGGACCACCCACGGGGCCAGGCCACGGACAAGGAAGCTCTTGCTGGGGGCTGAGGCTCCTCTTGGCGCAGAGCGAGAAGAGGGTATTGGGGTTGACATGTATGGGGGCAGTGGTGAGACAGCAGCCCGTAAAGAAGTGACACGGATTTAAAGACCATCTGTGGGAAAAGGCCATGCTGAGGACTTCCCCCAGTGGCCTGCTCACAGTGGGCTCTGTCAGGACCCCACTGCCCCAGTTCATCCTGGGGAAAGGCCTCACGCCCTGGGCCCCAGCCGTGGCTCACCGGCACACTCGCTGCCCGCCAGGTCCACCAGCTGCAGCTTGGCGTGCACCTGCTCCATGTGTCCAGTGGGGCCCTCGGGTGCGGCCCCCGGGGACCAGGATGAGGTTCGGTGGGCAGCGCTGTGCCTTCTCCCCGTGGCCGGCTGCCGGGGCGAGGGGCAGTCAGGCTCCTTGAGCACTGACACATCTGACTGCCGGTTGGCTGCAAGGAGAGTGACAAGTGGGAGAAGGACACTCCGTGAAGCGCCCCAGAGCACCCCTTGGTGTTGAGCAACTTCCAACATGACCCCAAAGGATGCTCCCCACACAGCGGGAGAACCGGCTGGTTCGTGACATGCTCTCAAGTACGGACAGGAAAAGGACCAGAGAACAGTGATGGTTTCTCTGGGCAAAATGTGAAAGAGGAGGAAGAAGAAAGCATTTTTCAGTGTTGAAAGTTCAACTAATGCCTGATTGGGCCCAAGGAAATCGAATGAGGTTTCTTGGAAAGGTTGGTAATGACAGTAATGAAAATCCCAGGCGGGAACATCAACCAGCCCTTAAATTCTACAGCTTCTGTCTGATGCCCCTCCACAGGAATCCTGACAAGTGCTCTTCATTTCCATGTATGTGTCGGTCTCGTCGTGGGTTATTCCTAAACAGGACTCCGAGAAAGATTTTTTTAAAAACCTAAAGAGTGTATACTCACTGTGGAAAATATAGACAATGCACATAAGTAAAATTTTAAAAAGAACATAAAAACCGCTCTGGTCCCCACCACCCGTAAGAGGCTGGCCTTGTCATCTGTGGATACTGGCTTTGCGGCCTGAACAGTCTGGGCTGCCTAAACGGGACATGCCCTGCGGGTTGGTCCCGGGACTGGTTAGGGTGAGTTCTGGGCTGGCGAGGTGGTTAGTAACCCGTGTGTGGCCTCTTCCTCGCTCCTCCCTTGCCTGGGCCTCATTGGAGGCCACACGCTTCAAGTGGCCTCGTGACCAGATGGGTCAGGAGCATCCAACCCATGCTGGCCTGCGACCTGAGTGAGAAATGACTTTCTAGTGTGAACCCATTAAGATCTGGGCTTCTTTGTTACTGCAGTAGGAAGCTGGGGCCCTGGACGAGCCGTCCTCCAAGCGTGGGCTCTGGCACCGTGCACTTGCAGACAGGCAGATCCTTGGGCCCCATCCCGGCCCTACGGTTCCCATTGTGGGGTTGGCATCTGTGTTTCCACAGGCCCTACAGGTGATCCTACATACGCTGCCCTGGACTTTACTGACTAAGGAGGACAAACAGACCCTCGGAACACGTGCATGACTTTTCTTATATGGCTGGAATCCTTTTATACTGGTTTGTAACTTTCTAAACCGAAATCACATTTATAGAGTCATTTATGATGAACGCAGCATATTCCTCGTGACAAATGTGCCCTGTTGTTTTCCTGTGTTGTGTCTTATTTGATAAAGCATTTTCCTCCCTCCCACATCCAATCTCCTCTCTTCTCTGCCTGGGAGCCCTGCAGCCTCCTGGGTTTGGGTTCTGGATCCTCCAAGGATGTGGGTGCAGTCCCCACCCTTGGGGTCTGTGAGAGGCCTCGGATCCTGCAGGCGCACTGCCTTTTCCTTTTGACATGGATTCTATTATATGCCACTGGCCAGGCACCAGGGGCCACTCACCGGGGCTGTCCCAGGAGGGGGCGGTGGTCAGAGTCACCGTTATTATCAGGTGAGACCTGGACGAGTCAGCGTGCACAAGGGTGGCATGCTTCGCCCTGAGCCGCAGGCGGCCATCCACGAGCGTCAGGAACTCCTCTGTGCTGTGGACGGACCTGGCAGATTGTGACAGGCGTTAGAGGCACCAAGGCCCAGTGTGACGGGGGGGCGGCCCCTCTGCCTGCAGGCCAACCTCTCATGCCCTTCAGCCACAGACCCCGCTTAGACAGACTAAGAGAGTAGCAAATCTTGGACAAAACAAAACATAACACATCAAACTTCTGACTTTTATGACGCCCAACTGACTCTGTATCTCTAACTGCTTGCCCTGAAATAATCACCCCACCTTTTCAACACCGAGCATTCTCTCATTTATTTTATCCTCGAGGACACCAACGTTTTAAAATATTTTGTCTATCAAATAGAATTTATGAGATAAAAGTCGATTTCCCTATTTTAATTAATGAGATATGACAGCTGATCAGAACATTTGATCTGCAGGAGATAATATTTTGATCACAGGTTATTAGGCCAAAGCTGAAAGTTTGGGTTACCTTGTGCAAACTTATGGCTTAAATGTATAATTTCCTTTAGGCTCTTTCAGAGGTTAAAAATAACTTGCAGGGTCCGGCCCGTTGGGGCAGTGGTTGAGCTCGCACCCTCCACTTTGGTGGCCTTGAGTTCGCAGGTTTGGACCCTGGGCATGGACCTACACACTGCTCATTGAGCCATGCTGCGGCTGTGTCCCACATACAAAATGGAGAAGGATTGGCACAGATGTTAGCTCAGTGATAATCTTCCTCAAGCAAAAAGGGGAAGATTGACAACAGATGTTAGCTCAGGGCCAATCTTGCTCACCAAAAAAAAATGTAGCTTGCAGACCTTGTCTTAGCAACTTTGAGACCCTAGGCAGCCCCATCCTGACGTTCTCCTCTCTGTGGGGTCAGGTCACATGGATCCCCACTGTGAGCAAGCCTGACACACAGGCGTGCATTTAAGACACACATGACTGTGAGGAGAAGGTTTACTCATATAAGGAGCTTTTCTCTTTTACAAGATGCTTCATTGTTGGGTTCTACAAAATATCGATATTTACGTGTGGAACTCGAGGCTGTCAGTACTTCCCTGAGCGACCCTGGCAAGTTACTTACTTCTCCAAGCCTGTTCCCTCGCCTGCAAGATGGGGATAAAACCTGCCCCACAACTCTCAGTGAAGATATTTTAAAAGATTAATTCATTCATATGTTTAATTGTGATGGATAAAAGGTGATTCCTAAAGCAAAGTGAAAATCGTGCAATGCATTCTAAGCACTAGACAACACAAGGAGCCATTTCATGGATAAAAGCGTCGAATTGGCCGACCCCGCTGGTCCTTCTGAGCCCTCGAGAGGGTTCGCACGGCTCACAGAAGCCCAGCACCTGCTGGTGGGGCACACGGAGTACTCACTCGTAGGTCAGCGAAGGGATCTCCTTCTTTCCCGCCTTCGTTGTCAGCACCTCACGCTTGACCCCAGATGTCACCGCACAACTGTCTTTGGCCAGAAGGTCGAAAATGTCGTTATTATAAACTTCCACTACGGACACTGCAACCTTCGGGCTCCTTGATGGATTTTCTGAAATGAGCCTGGGGGAGGGGCAGGGACAAGCAGCAAAAGCATCAGAGGAACTTAGGTAACCCCTTAAAGAAAGCGGTGAAAGAATGACTTTCAGCCTGGAATGGTCACAGTCCTAGAAAACGCTCAGCGGAGCTCATGGGCTGTGAGCGCAGGGCAGCATCTTGCCAACATCAAGATGGCTCACGTCCCACATACAAAATAGAGGAAGATTGGCACAGATGTTAGCTCAGGGCCAATCTTCCTCACCAAAAAAATAAAAATAAATAAATTGTACATAAATAACTATCTTGGGAACATACTTATTTTATCTGAGTTATATCCAAATCAACTATTTCAGTCTTCGGTACCCTTGGGATTCTAAACACACGAGGTAAAGAAGCATGAAGGACGCAGAGCCTTGATTCAGAAGTTCCCGCGCCCTAGTTTTGTTGCTACACGGAAGCCCAAAGCGAGCTGCAGAGACATGAGGACGTTCAGCACTTGCCAGTAATGCTGTTTGTTTATTTTCATATTTATTCTGTTTCAAGGAAGATTGGGTCCCGAGTTCTCTACTCGGTTCCACTCATAGAGTGCCTTCGAACCAAGCCCTGCCTGTGACCCCCGGAAAGCCTACCCAGGCTCTTAGAAAAGCAGCTACGCATCTTCTTTTGTTTCATCTTTTAAAGTGCTACGTGCTGACTGTAGCCAAGTTTAAAAATAAAGATAGTTACACACTTAGAGAAAAACCCCATAATCCACTCCAAGGAGGAAGGGAGCAGTAAGGCGGGGTTCGCGGCCTCCCTTCCCTCCCCGCCCGCCCCCGCTCCGTCCCTTTGACGAAACTCCCCACACAACCTGGTCACCAATGATCACAGACCCAACAAGACTTCGTTTTGTCTTCTGGACTTTTTGCGTCTCTAACCTCGCACGGGACGACCAATCTGATTTTGACCGTGTGCTTTTCCTGCCCATGAAGATATTCTGAGAGCTGGGCCGCACGTCCAGCCCGGGAGCATGCTGTTCGTGCTTAAGGGGAAACACAGCCTGGCTGTGCCCTATTCAAGCATGGCCAGAGCGAGCTTTCCATCCAGGTCGCCAAGAGAGCGCCAAATAAAATCGGCAATTAACGTTTCCTAGTGACAAACAATTGAGAAAAGTAAAAAGACCAAAAGGAAAGAAAAATAAGTTAAATTGTCTGGTAGAAATAATTGTTGGCAAAGAGCTCAGATTTGGATTCTCCTGAGCCTTGTGGTTTGCTGAGCATATCTAAGAGGCAGCATCTGGAAAGCAGAAAACCAGGGGGGATAATTTAGAGATTTAAGTCCTCTCCCCTCCACACATCAGAGAAAAAGGTGCCTCGCACACGCAGACCTGACCTCGGCCTTGGCTCCGTCCCCTTGTAGGACGGGTCGTATCTCTGAGTGTCACAAAACCCGAGTTAGAAATTTCTCATTCTCGCAACACCAGGGAGCTAATTTGAAAGATTTAAGTACTTGGTTCATGAATGCACTGACTTATTTGTCCCACAGTGTTTACTCAGTCGTTGGCTGGATTCTGCAAATAGTGTTGAAAACTGGGCTTCAGGCTGCCTCGAAGAAGCAAAGGGTTCGGTGGAGAAGACACACACGTGAACAAACAATTCTGATGTCGTGTGACACGTTTTCTCTAAGATGCACAGGCTCCCATGAGATGAGCAAGGATGCGCGCTGAGCCCAGAGGCACCGCAGGAGGGGGCGGTGGGCAAACACCCCGCAGGGCGCTCCCCGAGTGCCCCCTCCAGTCCCCCCGGCCACTTTCTGTCCTGTCCATCTATTCCCGGACGTGTCCTCCTGTGTCTCCGTTCTAGGCTTTGAGGGCAGAAAATTACCACCTGGCATTTTTGTATTCCTTGTGCCTTCGACGGTGCCTGGCAGGTAGAAAAACCTCGTCAATTCTGTTGATAAGAACAACAGCTGAGATCAGTCGAGAAGGAAGTGGCGTCAGCAACCAGGTTCAGAAGGCGGGAGGAGAGGATGTCCGGCAGAGAGCATCCCCAGAGGGCATTTTCTTGTATTTAAAATGGCAGGGGGACGCCGTCCTTTGATAAGCTCAGCAATGTAAGAGTGACATTTCTCAGGTAAAAGGTCCACGTTCACCCGCTCGGACGTCAGTGATCGAGGTCGTCCCGGTTCTCTATTTGGTGCAGTCGGACTGCTTGCATTTTGCGTTAGGGACACCCAAACTCACCCGCAACGTGGCTGAAGGCGGTCCTTTCCCGACCTTGTCCACTTGTGATTGGAAAACAAAGAGGCAGAAAATACTCCGTGTTTGGACTATTATTCTCCTTGCAAACGCTGACAGCGGGGCACAGGGAGGCCAGCCTCGCCCGTGGCCACTCGGTCAAAGGGCAGAGATTCAAACCTCTTTCTGGAGGATGGGAATGTGCTGAACCATGTGCTCTGCAGGACACCTGGAACCATTTAAGTTATAATTTCACACCCAAGACTCACAACATTAAACACCCACTTTAGGGGGCTGGCCTGGTGGCACAGCAGTTAAGTTTGCACATTCTGCTTCGGCAGCCCAGGGTTCACTGGTTCGGATCCCAGGTGCAGACATGGCACTGCTCAACAAGCCATGCTGTGGCAGGTGTCCCACATATAAAGTAGAGGAAGATGAGCACAGATGTGAGCTCAGGGCCAGTCTTCCTCAGCAAAAAAAAAGAGAAGGATTGGCAGCAGATGTTAGCTCAGGACTAATCTTCCCCCACCAAACAAAAAAAAACCCCACTTTAGAAACAAGGTAACTCAAGCACTTGTCAGTGATGCGATTTCACTCTTGGTGAAGCTGTTTATTCCATTTCTAGATAGTTCTGAGAGTCCAAATGCTTTCCTAACTGATCTTCTTCTCTGGAATTTTTAAGCAGCTACAGTTCTCCCCTGAGTCACACGGGTTTCTGGTCCTTTACGGTCTGTTTGCCGTCCTCACGGATCCGCTCCAGAACCAAACCGAAACAGGGCCCGTTAAATGAACCACACCTGCTTCAAGCTAACAGTCCGTCACACCCCGCCCACCAATCAAGACTCTGCCTGACTCCTGGGGTCCCCATCACATGACAAGGAGAAAGCAGTTGTGTGAAATGCAGTGAAGGATTCTCTGAACTCCCCACTATTGTCAAGCGTTTCTCTTTTTTTCTTTTTCTTTTTTTTTTGGTGAGGAAGATTGGCCACAAGCTAAAATCTGTTGCCAATCTTCCTCTTTTTTTCCTCTCCAAAGCCCCAGGACATAGCTAGTTGTAAGTCCTTCTAGTTCTTCTATGTGGGATGCCACCATAGCATGGCATGGTGTCTGGGTCCACACCCAGGATCTGAACCAGCAAACCCCAGGCCCAAAGAGGAGTGCACAAACTTAACCACTGGGCCATGGGGCCGGCCCCTCTCCAGCGTTTCTGACTTGAGGTCTTGGCCTTTGTATCACCCCAACTCCCTGTTTCTCCGCCTTGGAAGCTTGGTTAGCAGGAAGAAGAGTTACTGGCCGATGGTTTAATGATTTGTGGCGTCCATACGGCTTCCCTCCACTGATTCAGGCTGCTGTGGGAGTTATTAGCCCAGATCGTGCACGGGGCGGGCACTTTCAAAATGCTGAGTCAGTGAGTAAGTGAAGACGACTTGATGAGAGATCCGGAAGGCTCGGTGAGCACCGGACGAGGCTAGAATGGCAGCTTCTCCCCGCCCGGAACCCCTGCAAGAGCCTCTCACCTGCTCCCGGAAATTCCCGGTGTCCCTCTTTCCAAGTGACGCCCAGGAAAGCCACACGCTGCTGTGGTTCTACCGTATTCTAACGTGGCCGTCGCTTCGCTTCCAGCCGACGCGGCTGCTGTCCGGCAAGGACTCCCTCGGGAGGGAACAGACGAAGCTCCTGGGCGGCACCAGCCGGGCTCCGCTGAGAACTTCTGTGACTCCCCTTTAACTCTCAGGCTCTGGAACTGAACCGACACTGGACGTAGTGCAGGGTCCCCAGAACGAGGTCTTTGCGACCTGAACTGAGACCCTCTCCATGTGAGTTGAGTTGGCTGCGCTACCATACACATAAGTCCCACCCACTCCCCGGCGCGCCCCACTGAACTCAGATGTGGCCACCGGCCTTCTTGGGCCAATGAAACGAGGGCAAGGCCAATGTGTCCCCGCCAGGCAGAGTCATCAGGGCTGGCCTCCGTCCCCAGCCACCTCCCCCGTCTCCAACAACGCACAAGCACACGCTCTGAGCGGCCACCATGAGCAGGGCCCCTCGCTGGCCTCGTGGCCACAGGGATTTTCAGAAAGGTTGTTACCGCGGCACAATCTCCCCACTCCTGACAGGTGTGATCTCCTAGGATATGGTCTGATTCCGAAAATCACAAAAGAACTCCAGAAAACTGGGGAACACTTTGCCAAGTTTTTTTCTGGCATAGCCAGCAGAAGTCCATTCATAAATACACCTGCTCACGCACGCTGACATTTAAAGAATATTGGTTTAGAGAGGCCGTAAACATCGGGCTGCTGTGGGAGCTCTTATGTCTCTGTCTGGCCTGGATTTTAAGACATGGAAGGACTACACAAGCAAATATAGAGACAAAAACGGAATTTCAGGGGGTTAGGAGCACAGGAGGTCAGCCGGCCCCACTGCATCCTGCTGCTGGGAGGCCTCTTCTCTCAAGGAGCTGACACTTTCCTCGGGAATGTGCGACGTGCGGCCGCAGAGGAAGCCCTCGGCTCTGACAAGGCCGTGAGCAAAAAGCGACAATGAATTTCTTGCAAAGTGGCTCTCCAAAGGCAGGGAGGGTCAATGACCAAGCCAACAGGGTGGAATGTCAGGACCACGCACTATTCTGGGAGTCCTTGCTAACTAGGGCCGCTGAGGGCAACTTGTTACTACTTTTTTTCTAGGAGTAACCATATTGGTGAAATCGTGACTGTGTCACAGGGTCTCGTCTGGGACGTGTGGATGGAACGGGAGACACTTCCACACATCCAATTCGCTGCAACTCCTGAGAAGAGAACCAGAAGCATCTACTCCTGTGGCGGCAGAGGGCAAGGAAAAACAACAGGGGTTTCCCCTCTGCCTGCTTCCCATTCTAGAACAGAAGGACCCCATCCTCTGCCCTCCCTTGACCAGGGGAATTGTCCAACTAGGGATCTCTCTCAAGAAACTTTGTCTTGGCCGGAGAGTTTCAATGTAAGAGCATCATAAGAATTTCTAGCATTTGTGGTGAGAATGCCCAGAGTGTGTAGACACTCGGTAGTTTTGAACGAGTTCTAAGAGGGTTAGGTGTGACCCTCGGCGAACAGGAACCTTCCTTCACGTCGGTTCATTCCTGCCCACCGCCCGCACCCCCTGCACGGCGGCCCTGGCCGTCCAGTACCTGAAGAGCTCTTCGGCAGCTCTGGGAATGATTCCCAAGTCACCCTGAGATTCCACCGGCAGGACAGGCTCCTTTCTGGAATGCGGGCCCATCATGGTGTAGCTCTTCCCACTTCCTGTCTGTCCGTAAGCCATGATGCAAACATTGTACCTAAAATTCAAGAAGGATCTTAGTACAGCAGCACAACAGGCATTGGGGCTACTGCCGTGACTGGATTCCGAGAAGAAATGTCACTCGGATGAGAAGTTTCAATGAACTGCACCGTGTGGTCCTCTGTCACTCCATTCCTTATGCATCAGGCTTTCGTATAACTACACCCGATTTTTGCATTTTCCCTCCCTGTTGCTATGTGGTTGCCCAATGGTGGAGTCAATCATCTTCCCATTTACGCACACACCGTGCATCTCATCGACCCTGTTTCTCCCTGGCGCTTCGATGTTTCCTCCTGGAGACCACGGCGGGTCCCCTGTGCTGTCACTCACCGTCTTCATGAGGATTCCAACCTGAGCAAGGCCCTCCTGAATTTCATTCACTCTAATTTTCAGCACAGAATGGGAGTGGCCTCATGTAACTCATCTTCGTAAAACCAGGCTTGCTGTAACGTGCATGAAATGATACGAGAGTTTGCATATTTTCTTTTATGTTCTCAAAACATTTTTCCCCATTACATATGTGACTGCTAGCACTGCTGATGACAATTATTCTTAGGATTGTAATGTATTCCTGTGCTTTGTTATTCCAAGGGACCTGGGGTTTTCACACTCGTAGTCAACTGGAATGAGCGATGTCCTCTCGGTGACAGGTGGCCGGGCTCCCTGAAATCCTACATCTGGGGATTACTTTGCTGCATCTTATTTCACAGGAGACAAGGACTCTTGATGGATGCTTAAATTTTCTTCCAGTTTTGTTATTTAGCCCAAAAATGCCAATGGGTAGATGGCAAACATTGGAAAGATTATTTGAAATAAGTTTACGATACAAATGTACATTCTTGGCCGTGAAGGTGTGGGCGAGCCTGGCCCACATGTGGCTGCACCTTAAGCCCTGGCCGCCATGAGCGTCGCCTGTCCAAGTGCAGGCCCCACCCTCGGGGACTGACTGTTTAACCCAGTGTATCCCCGTGGGTCACACAAACGAAGACTGTCACTTTGACAAAATGACTTTGAAGAGTGTTCTGATGGATTGACACCTTGCTCAGTGACACATAAGCCTTACAGATGCAGGGGGCCTGGCTTTCCAAGGTTAACCGTTCCACTCAACCAAAAATGATGAAGGAAACCATATGTTCAGGCAAAAACTGACCAAGGACCTCTACGCTATCATTCTGTATTTTCTTCCAGAACTGAAAATTCTCGAGGTCTTTATAACAAACCCCCACTGCATTCCATGTCTCTTACACCTTCCTTGAGAGACGCATATGTATTTCTGGGGGTGGCGGGTGGGGCGGGGGAGGTATCTTTGCAACAGATAAATGAGCCCTTAAAGGGATCTTGCAAACCATTTAGGAATGTACAGAGAAAAGCTCAGGAGTTAAAATAAGGCCATCTGTTTCATATTTATACGGGAAAGGCAACTCCGGCCAAGATCATTTAACCACTATGCCTTTTTTGTTTCTGGAATCTGCTTACTTAAAAGATGCCTACTGAAAAAAAGAAAAAAAAAAAAAAGAAAGGGAACCTCTCCTATCATTTTCAGTGGAAGAACTTTTTTCGGATGGATGTAAAAATTCCAGGACTCCAGAAGAAGAGTTGAAGCAGAAACTTCCTCAGGGCAGGACGGTGGGCCGTGGCGGTGGGTGTGGCTGGAGCCCCGTGGGCTCCCCATGCTGACGTGAGCCATCACGCCATGTGCCTTGCGGGCACCTCGTGATGTCCTTTAGACGCCGCAGGGCTGTGGTTCGGAAGCAACACTGTAATTACAGTTTCCATTTGGGGGGAGCTGGCGGTGCAGGAGCCCTTGCCGGGCAAACGCCATATGTCTTCATCAGGATGCTTAACGTCGCCTCTCCGCCAAACTGAGATTCTTCTAAAGACCCCGAAGGAGAGAGAGTCTTGGTTTATTGTGACAATTTAGTCTACAACCTGGTTCGATTCATTGCTAAAGAAGTGATCTCTTTTCTAAGTTCTGACCCACTGCCTCTGAAGTCAGCAGTGGTCTTCTCCACAAGCAGGAGGCTCCTTCCCCAAGGGGTCAACCCCTCGATCCAATGCTAACATTCTTGACAGGCTTGCAAAGATTCTGGAATGAAACAAGAATCCCAGAGAGAAGAAAAGCAGCTGCCAACACCGTCTTAAACGCCCGTGCACGTGCGACTGAAAGATCTTTTGGAACCCAAGTCATCTGTGCTCATCGAACGATTATTCCCGAGATCACATTCACGCCTTTCCCTGGGGCGCAGAAATGTCCTCCATCAATGGATACGGAACCAACGCTGGGGTCTGGGTTTGGTCTACAGCCACACAAGATGCTCAGAGGCCGTGATGGGATATTCTGATTCTGTAGCATGAGTGAAATTGACTTACGTTTACACACAACTGTGATAATGCACCTTACAGACAATTTAACTCACCCATCCAAGAGAGACGTGAGTAGCGGACACACCTCTTCAAATACCACCCTTTGAGATTCTGCTGGACCGTAAACTCTGGAGGCAAAGTGAAAAACGATGTGTTATTAGAAGAGAAAGAGAGCCACTCAGGATCCAAATACAGAAATCTGGAAGCAACAATATCCTCATACGCTTCCCCGGTAAACCCCCCCAGCGCAGTCAAGCTGCATATGTTTTTAACAATGAAAGATTAATTTGATGACTTTTCAAGCTAACAGAAGTTAAGGAAGAGTGAAGAATTATTTCCTCTGTTATCAAAAGGCAACAAGCATAAGCAAAGTTATAAATGCTTGCGAAGCAGAAAGAAGCAGCAAGAAAAGAAACAAAGAAAGGACACCATATACTTATCCTGTAACTAAATTACTCCACCTGGGTGGGTCCCACGACAATGATGTAAAAATCATACTCTGGAAATAGTTGATATATAACACTTAATTTTTAGGTTCAAGTTCTTAAAAATACTGTTTTGCCAGGCTCCCAGGTTAGTTCCGTAGAACGTTAACACACACAATGGGACGGGACTGTATGCTCTGAGAGGGGACCTGTGGTGGCTCTCTGTTCGTGAGCTTGGACAAATAAAGCTAACTGGGAAGTGACTCCCAAAAACGCAGTTTACTGCACAGTTTGAAACATGACCGGAAGGCAGTGAAGAGCCGAAGGAGCGCCAGATTACCAAATACACGAAATACACACGAGTGGTTAGTTATATTTGAACCCAATGTGCTTTGATTTTAAGGTTAGTTTCCTGAAATGCAGGTTTTTATTTAGCTGGAACCAAATTCTCCTCTTCTCTCATTTTCAAAATGTGTCGTAACGCCCAGTTGATCCGTCATGTCTAGAAGCAGGATTCCGTTTAAAGTTCAGGGGCATTCCTTATAAAACATTGCTTTTTATGTATAACTAGGAGGGCATTTCGAGGAAGTGGGAGGATGCTGAGCTCTTAAATGTATTTTTTAAGCTTTTCATCAAAAACATCACCAAAATACAAAAGTAGGAAGAATAGTAAATGAGCCCAATATGTGCATGGTCCAGCTCCCACACTTACCCATGGCCACCCCACTTCTCTTAAAGCCTCCCCTGCTCCTTGCCCCCCGGAGCCTTTGGAAGCTGACCTCACGTCTACCTCATCTGTAAATGTTTCGGTTTGTATCTCTAAAGGATGACGCCTCTTTCAAAAATCCTAACAATGTTTCTATTATCACACTTTTAAAAATTAACAGTAATTCCTGAACATCATCCAAAAAAGGGCAATGTTCTGGGGCTGGCCCAGGGGTGTAGAGGTTAAGTTTGCATGCTCTGCTTCGGCGGCCCCGGGGGTTTGCAGGTTCGGATCCTGCGTGCAGACCTACCCATGCTGTGGCAGCGTCCCACATACAAAATAGAGGAAGATTTGGCACGGATGTTAGATCAGGGCCAATCTTCCTCACACACACAAAAAAGGGGCAATGTTCACATTTACCCACTTCTCTAATAAGTTTATCTTTCCCATCAGTGTTTAAAAAATCATGACTCAAACAAGGCATATACACTGCGGCTGGCTACACGGCATCAAGGTCTTTAATCTACAGCAGGGCTGCCAAACCTTCTCTGGATAGTAAATATTTTAGGCTTCGTGAACATCTGACTGGATAAAGGGACACTGGAGTCTTTCCCACCAACACAAAGGTCACGGGTCCTGCTCCCCACACTACACTCAACATCATATTGAGTCATTATAGCTAATGCAGTGGACAGAGGGAAGCAATTGGTGACATAAAGAATCGCAAAGGAGGAGGTTTAACTAATTCTACTCAGCGGCAATAATGACCGTATGCGTGAGCGGTCCAAAATCAGAGGAAGAAAAAACTACTCAATTAAAAGAGAATTTAGTAAAGTAGCAGGTCCTAAAATTCATGTACAAAAGTCAATCGCATTCACATATACAAACAAAATGAGTTAGAAGATATAATGGGAGGACAATCCTATCAAAGACAGGAAAAAAGAAAATAAAAAACCCAGGCATAAACTTAATAAGAAATGTCGAAATCCTGTGGGAAGAAAATCCTGACACATTCCTGCAAGACACATTATGGAACTCAAATAAACGAAAAGATATACCATGTCTTGGCTAGGACGACTCAACCCCAGGAGGATGCTAGTTTGTCCAAAGTTAGCTTATCACCTTTCCTGAATCTATCCCCCCAAAGTACCAAATATCCCATTAGGTTTTTTCTGGAGCTCGACAATTTGATTATAAAATTTATTTGACAAAACAAAAGAGCGAGAATAGAAGGAAGACCCTGGGAAAGAAATAGTGATGGCGACGGGGTCTGTCTCAGACATTAAACGTGCTATAAGGACACCACACTTGAGTCAGCTTGGTCTGGGCACATGAGTAAATAAGCAGACGGACCAGAGAAAATCCAGAATTAGAGGTAATTACACATGGCGATGTGCTCTATGCGCAAGGGGGCATCTCAGATTAATGGAGAAAAGATGTGTTTAAGAAGTGGTGTCCAGGGAACTGGAGAGACATAAGGAAAAAGATGAAACTGGCTCCATTCCTTATACTAGGGTACATTCCAAAGGGACCGTGAGTTTCATTTAAAAAACCGAACCATGCAATTACGGGAACACATGGGTACATTCCTCAATAACCTGGCGGCCTTTGTGAATATGATGACGTTAAGGGAGAGGGGAACTCCTGCGTGGCTGAAAGATATCAGAAGCAAAGGAAAAAATACAAATGACAATCTGGGAAAAATAGTTGTGACTTAAATCACAGACAGAAGTGTGCTCTCCCTAATACATAAAGCACTCCTAAAAGCAGAGACGGAAAAGGCCACATTTGTTATCTTTCCTTATCTTTTTTATATATTCCCTATATTTCTCCTTATATTAAAAATCCTTTCTATATTTTTATAGAAAAATAAGGGGGTTGGCCCGGTGGCCAAGTGGTTAAAGCTGCATGCGCTCTGCATCTATGGCCTGGGTTTGTGGGTTCATATCCTGGGCACAGATGTACTCCACTCGTCAGCTGTGCTGTGGAGGCATCCCACATATGAAGTGGAGGAGGACTGACACAGATGTTAGCTCAGGGCTAATCTTCCTCAAGCAAAAAAAGAAAAAAAAAGAGGAAGAACAGCAACAGATGCTAGCTCAGGGCAAATCTTCCTCACCAAAAAAGAAAAAAAAGAAAAATAGCTAGAGATGTGAAGAGTTCACAGAAGAAGAGAAACGCAAATGACTCTAAACCACAGGCAAAGAAGCTACGGAGACACCGTCTGTCTCTGCAGACAGGCCTAACACACTCTCTCGGAAGGCTGGGGAAGCAGGGTCCTGACAGCTTGGTTAACGGGGTGGAGTAAAGCAGGTAGGCTGCTGGCATGAGGCAACTTCGCTCCCACAGCCCCACTGCCCTCCACAATCCCACTGCCAGCCACCCTGAGGGGTTTCGGGGTTTTGAACAGTTCGTTCTCATTTTTTTCTCTATACCTCTGACCATTTTGTGCCTCCACCTGGAATGTCCTTTTTCTTCTCTACCTGGTGACCTCCTGGTTAACTGAACCATCAAGATGCAGTTCAAGGCCCGCCCCTCAGGGTCCTCTGCATTCTGCATCTTGTACTCCAGGAGGCTCCCCCGTCTGCATCTGCTGTGCGTGGTCCCCATGCTCCATCTCTGCCCGTGGAAGCAGCCTTAGCCTTACCTACATCCGGTGTCCTGCACATCCAGGAGCTTTACCACATAGCAAAACTAATACAAAGATAGGATAGGTACATCACATCATAAATACACATAATAAAAGAACACAGGGCCGGCCCTGGTGGCCTAGGGGTTAAGTTTGTCATGCTCTGCTTTGGTGGCCCAGGTCCAGTTCCCACCATTCACAGTGGCCATGCTGTGATGGTGGCTCACATATGAAAAGAGAAAGATTGGCAACAGATGTTAGCTCAGGGCAAATCTTCCTCTGCACAAAAAAAAAAAAAAAAAAAGAACACAGCCAAGACTCCTCCAGCTTCCTGACATGGAAACGGTGCTTAAAACAATAAAAATTACTTATTTTTCTCATTGCATTTGGGGTCAATGGCTGTTACTTTTAGTTTGCTTTTTTTTATATAATAATATTTTTATTCCTCTCAAGAGACAACAACTTTCTTCTGACCCTGGGCCAGTTCATATTTTTCCAGACTAGTAAGAAGCGTACTTTCCCCTTCACACAAACTTATTTTTAAAAAGGAGTTAAGTGCTGAAAGTGTTGAGATCTTTCTTTCAGAACTGAAAGAAAATATTTTGACGGTTATTAGTTCCATGAAAAGCTGGTGTAAAATAAACAATGTTCTGATTCCCAAGAGCCACGTGCTCTCCTGTTATAAAGTGAATCCCAAGACGAGAATAAAGTCTTACGGAGACCGAAACTCAGACTCTCCTTTCTCACTGAGATAGACAGCAAGTGACACAAACGCTCCATTTATTGTTTTCTAGCCCAAACACGCAGTTTAGATTGTCCCTTCGATCTGAGCACCCTCCACGGATGACACTGAGACAGAGCTTTCTACGGAGAATTTCCGCTCACGTCTGAGTTAATGGGGCTGCTCCTCCTTCTTATTCCCCCGATCAAGGTCCCGGTGGTCACTGGCAGAACTCCCCGCCTCCCCAGGGCCCCGCCGTCTCTTCATGGCCGCAGCCACTGGTATAATGCCCAGACCTGGATGCAGAAAGGCCCGTGGCTGCCGGAGCCTGGGTCTTGCCACCTGCAGCGCCCTCCCCAGGTGTTCCTGTGAAGGTCGAGTGACTTAATTTGCTTGGTGACATCTAAAGCGCTACGTGAATATTAGGTACATCGCTAGCCCTGCCTTGCACAGGTGGACGGAGATGACGTGACTCACTTCCTCCGTCCATTCCATGCATAAGTGACGCTGGATAAAACAAAGCCCCAAACGCTGTGAAACACACAGGCGGCCCTGAAGGGGCAAAGGGAAGGGAAGGTGCGGATGCCAGAAGGAAGAGCAGACCAAGAGCGAGCGGGAAGCCTGCGTCGACCTGCAGACACCCAGGCTGGGTGCCCACTGGACAGAGGCAGTGGGCGTGCAGGCTGGGCCCGCCCCTGGAGACGGAGACGTGACACGGAAGGGACACTGCCGCGTAAAGCAGGCACTGGAAGCCTGGCCTGGGCCGGGAAGGGGGTCCGGATAAATGGCAGGAAAGCCTGCTCAGCTCCCAGGCTCAAGATGGGGGGCATATCCCAGGACGAATCACGCCACACACGTGTACAACACGTGAACATGGCATGTGAACGGACAGCGCCCCAAGGCAGAGAAACCCCAAATACAACAAGTCACATGGAAATGGGAGCAGATCCTGGAAGGCCGCCTGCTGGGCATCACCGGCCTCATGGGAAGTCTCTTTCTGACCCAGTCTTAGCCTTTCCCTCCCCTCCCCCCTGCACCCCTGCCCCCTCCTCACCCCTCCTTGGAGCCTTCACTCCTCTTTCCTGACCCTAGAGGTCCCGTCTCTGCAGCGCCCTGTGCCCCTCTTGTAAGAGTCCGTTCCTCCCCTGCAATGATCCTTCCCAAGAAAGTCTCTCCATACGACTCTGGATTTGTCAATTTGACAAAATAAACGGAAAGGAATGACATTTGGTCTGTTTGCCGACTTCTCCTCAGCAGCAAGAAAGCCAAGAGACCAGGGATTCATATCTTCAGATGCTGAGCTCTCCGCCTACATTTCTAGCCATGGATAAACATCATTCAAGGCAAAGAAGGTGTTTCCCACTCGTGGAAAGAACGTTGCCATGAAAACTGCTCAAGGATTTTCTCCAGCAGAATGACCTTGACCTCAGCCGATGGCACTGGGCAACCCCGGAGCACGTCCAGCAGTGTGCATGACCGTGGCTGTAAAGAAGGACCCAAAATCTCAACTCTATTCGGAGAGGTTTGAAAAGAAGGCATGTTGCCACATATGAGCTCAGGGGCCACTGCCCCTTTGCCCTCTCTTGTGATCTCATGGATCAGAAATCTGGGTGGGGCCGGGCCTGCCAGCTCTGTTCTCCATGGTCAGCAGAGGTCGTTCGGGGGCCTCAGCTGGCAGACGGGTGGTCTCAAGACCCCTCTGCGGACCAGGACGCCTTCCATCCCAGTTGGCTCAGTGGGGTGGCAGGAAGGCTGGTGAGAGAGCGCCTCCCGTGTCCTCTCCAGCACAGGGGGTGGCCGGGGGAGTCGGAGAGCGTGTGGCACCAGAGAGGACGTGGAGGTTGCCCGGGCTACAGGTGAGGTGGCATCCCTCAGTCGTGGGGCAGCGTCTCAGCAGTCACAGAGCCCACTCTTTTAGTCCTTTCGTCTGCCTCTGGGTACCCGATGCTACTAACATAGTGTTTCCGTATTTCCCACATCACGGCTCTCACGGAAGGTGGTATCTGGTTGGCACATGGGGTAAATGAGTGAATGAACTGAGGATGATGTCCCCCCGCCTCTCTGGGTATCCTCGAGCCAGGATCAACGCCTGTGTGTTTCCGTGGCCTAAGCATCTGAGGAGCTCCACCCAGACAGCAAGGAGGATGGGTAGGATGATGGTTCTAAGGCCCTTTTAACATTCTGGACGAAGACGGAGAAACTGATTACCTTCCTACTTTAAATCAAATATACACGCTAAAAATTTATATCTTTACCCACTTCCGTATTCCTGTTCTATCAGTTACTGACAGAGGAGTGTTAAAATCTCTGACAAAAATTATGGATTTGTTTATTTCTCTTTTGGGTTCAACCAGTTTGGGTTTCATTTCCTTTGAAATCCTGTTCTTACCTTTGGGGCTATGTCCTCTTAATACTTGATCCCTTTGTTGTTATGAAATGACCCTCATTCTCCCTGGTAACATTCTTAATCTGAAATCTATTTTGACTGATATTAATGTGTCCACTGCAGCTTTCTTTTTAAAAAATAGTTTGAGTTGATTTGATTGAATCAGGATCCACATATTGCAACTGACTGATGTGTTCTCTTAAAGTCTGTTGGAAAAAATTTCTTCTGTTTTTTTAAATTTACACACAGTACAATTCACTTTTTTGTGTTACAGTTCCGAGTATTAATAAATGCATACTGGGGCCGGCCTGGTGGCACAGTGGTTAAGTTCACACACTTCGCTTCAGCAGCCCAGGGTTTGTGGGTTGGGATCCTGGGCGTGGGCCTACACACCACTCATCAAGCCATGCTGAGACAGTGTCTCACACACAAACTAGAGGAAGATGGGCACAGATGTTAGCTGAGAGGCAATCTTACTCAAGCAAAAAGGGGAAGATTGGCAACAGATGTTAGCTCAGGGCAAATCTTCCTCACCCAAAAAAAAAAAAAGAAGCAAAGAAAATAAATGCATATGAAAGCCACAACCAAGATGCAGAACAGTTGTGTCACCCCATAGAAATTCTCTCCTGTAGCCTCTTTGGTAGTCAATCCCTTCCCCACGCCAACCCTTGCAGACACTGATCTCTTCTCCATTCCTTTAGTTCTGTCTTTTCCAGAATGCCTATAAAAGGAGTCATGCAGAAGGCAACCTTTTGGGTCTGGCTTATTTTGCTCTGTATAAAGTGCTTGAGATCCATCGCGTTGTTGCATATAACAAGAGCCTGTTCTCTTTTTTGCTGAGTCATATTCCGTTGCACGGAGGCATCGCAATTTGCTAAACCATCCACCAGTTGAAGATGCTTGCATAGCTTACAGTTTTCATCAGTTAGGAGGGAAGCTGCTAGAAACCTTCACTTACGGCTTTTTGTGAGTGTCTTGAGTAAATACCTAGGAGAGCGGCTGCTGGGTCATGCGTCAGGGGCTGCACCACTTCTCCTTCTTGTCAACAACAACGTAGGCGAGCTGTCAGCACTGGGCATTGTCAGTTTTGAGTCTTTTTCAGCGGTTCTAATACACGTGGAGTGTCCCCGGGTCGTGCTTTGAGCGGCATTTCCCAAATGACCGATGATGCTGGGCGTCCTTCTTTGGTGACGCGTCTGCTCAGATACTTTGCCCTCTTGTTCATTGGGTCGCTTCTTCTCTTATTTTTGAGTTCTTTGCGATTCTGGATACAAGTCCTTTGTAAGGTACGTGATTTCCAAATATTTTCTCCGGCGTGTGGCTTATCTTTTCATTCTCTTAACAGTATCATACACAGAACAAACGTTTTTAATTTTGATAAACTCCAGTGTCTTTATTCTTTCATGGATCAAGTTTTCGGTGGTATTTTTAAGAATTCCTTGCTTAACCCAAGGTCACAAAGACTTTCTCCTGTGTTTTCTTCTAAAAGTTTTAAGGTTTTAGGTTTTGTATTTAGGTCCAGATTCCATTTTAGTTAATTTTTGCAAAAGGTCTGATGTATAGATCAAGGGTCATTTGATTTTTGCATGTGGACGTCCAGCTGGTCCAGCGCCATTGGTCAGAAGGACTTTCCTTTCTCCACTGAACTGTCTTTGCCACTCCACAATTAGGATGATGGGATAAATTGTACCTCTCATTAATCAAGCCCTAAAGCAGAATTCATGCTTGTGTAACTTTGCTCTACACGTCATCTCGAAAAGCACCTACCTTTCAAAATTATACGTCTTGTTAATCCAAGGGTGACCAGGCCGATCCCATCTCACCAGGACAGTTTCCTGATAGAAAAGAACAAAGAGAGTGGTGAGACTCGGCCGGGGCTGCATGAAGCACATCGAGCAGAGGCTGGCCAAGCATAGCTTCTGGCCCATCCAGCCTGTCGCCTGTTTTTATAAACAAAGTGTTATTGGAAGGCAGCCACGCCCTCATTCACAGATCGTCTCCGGCTGCTTTTGACTCAACAGCCCGATGGAGTAATGGAGACCGAGGCCAGATGGCCCTCAAAGACTCTAATATTTACTCTCTCGCCCTTTAGAGGAAAAGTTTGCCAACCCCTGATATACAGAGAAGGAAATCAGCTTCATGGAGGAATCACACGGAGTTCCTCGCCTCCAGCAGCCCGCGGTTCCACCCGCCCAGAATGGCCTCTCAGCGCCCTTGACATTCCAAGTGAGGTGGGAGATATTCCTAAGGCTGAAGAAATTGTTGTCCTAATTTAATTATAATGGGTGGAACCAAAAGGTTTGTCTTTAAAACACATCGACTTTTGATCTTGCGAAACTATTTTCTTTAGACATTCTGCGCGGAGGAAAGCAAAGATAATTTTTAGCAAGAAATGCAGCATTAGCTTGGTTTCACTTAAGCAAAGAGAAAAACACAAATCTTTTGAATTGGTTCCCATTCTAAAATAAAACGGGAATTCATGAAAAAATAGTATCAGAAGAATTTTTTAAAACAACAACCAAGAATTGCAGTGGTGAATAAGCCATAGATATTTGATGTTTCCATAATAGTTAGAAGATGCTAGAGTGACACATTCTCATCTTCCTACTGGTACTTTGAGAGATACATATATCTGCAAAAATAAATACATGTGAAAAAGTGGCCTGGTTAGGATTTAAAGACACAAGCTATGGGGTACAACAGCTATTGCTCTAGGATTGTTGTTTGTTGTTTATTTACTGCCAGAAGCTCGGTCGTGGCAGGTGTTGGAGCGGCATGCTATTGCATCTGGACACTGCAAGGTCTCCCTGCTGTTCAATGCTAATGTCACCAGAGACGTCAACCTTCGCTGTGTTCATAATCAGAGGTGAAATGCTACAGAAATCATAGGCCTGCATTTGGGTAAGGCAGGCTATGAAAAAACATTAAATATTGGCAACACATTGCTGTTGACTGGGCCTTGACCTCGTGGGGGCGTCTCTGCCTGGCTCTCCCCTTCTCCGTGCCTGCTGTGGCCCTTCTCGTCCACGGCCCACGCCAATGAAATGGGCCCCTCACTGTGCCCCCGGCTGGTTTCTCTGCCTCCAGCCTAGCCCTGTCCAGTCTGTTCTTTACATCACTGCCTTAGACATCTTCCCAAAATGCAAAATTGAACAAGAAGGGCGTGGATGAAGTCCCTGAAACCAAAGAAAGCAGCTTAAGAAGGAGGGAGTGACTGAGGCAGAGGGTCATTGAAGTCCTTATTTCAAGTTGTCAGCTGGATTTGGTGGACCAGGAGGTCATTTGCTACCACAATGAAAAGTCTCAGTGGGGCGCGTGGGGATGGAAACCGGCCCACAGCGACATGGGCAGTGAGGGAGGCTGAGTCGGTGACCAGCGGTCTTCTGTCATGTCACCCAGCATGACTGCTGAGACGCCATCCCCTGATTGATGCTCAAAGGTTTGCGTGTGCCTGGGTCTTCACACGGCTTTCGAGGAAGAAGTGTTATTCTGGGAGGAGTCCCGAATCCAGAGTTCATTTCTCCCCTGAGTATTACGGGGCACTTACTGTGCTCCAGAAACTGCTTCAGGAGCTGCGTACCCGATATAATAATAGCAGTATCATGGTCTGATAATGGTAATGTCATGAGTTAATAACAGCAGTACCTCAATGGCAGAGGAAGCTCTTAAATCCTTTTCACTTGCCAACTCTGAGGGATGCTGGAACCAACGCTCAGACACCCCCCAGGACCAAGGCCCCAAGGTCGTTGTCAGAGCAGAGCCCGCATCCCCAGCTCCTGGGATCTGATCCCGGGATCCGACCTCCAGCCCAGGTCCCTTGCTCCCTCCCTGTGGCATCTTTTCTTTTTTCTGTTGCCTGATTATGGTGCTATTCCTTTACTATTATGCCAAACTGTAACCCCACTGCCCCAGGAGGAGTGGCACAAGGACACAACCCCTCCCCCCCCCACAAAGTGTTTTATTGATGTCTCCAAATGCCATGGTTCTCACCAGGAAGAAAAACAAACGAAAAATGCTAAGGTTGACAAACGTCTCACCCAAAACCTCAAGGGACTCCCTAAAAGGAACATAAAAAGCCATAAAAACAAGCCTGAGTCCAAAAGGTCCCCGTGGCTATTTGGAATGTCACCCTACAGTGTGATCACTAGAATTTAAACAACATCCAGTCCTTCCAGGAGCAAAGTGTAATTTCTCCGAACACAGATTAAATGTTCCTTCCTGCCTATCCAAACAAATGCCCTCCTCATTCACACCACCAAACATCCCTTCTTCCCACAAATAAGGCCCATTCCTCTCGGCCTTTTAAAATAGTTTCCTTTTATCCAAATCTTTGAGCTCTTAACCGTACGACATCTTCCTTCACGATGGGAATGGCCTTGACACGCAGAAGTGGAGGCTCCAGACCCTTTGGGTTCGTCTGTAGAACGGACATTATAATACCTGCCTCATGCAATGATGAGGCTCAGAGGAAACAACGCGCGAAGGCTGCCGAGCTCGGAGCCAACAATCGATAGAAGTTATTTTCCTTACGTTGAGCTGCTTTACCATCTATTTTCTTATTTGCATCCAATTTCCTGGAATAGCTTCCAAAAATTCTTCGCCGTCAACCCAGTCATCAAATTTTGGAGCTAAAAGTGAATTTCAATCTAACTCCCACATTTTACAGAAAGAAATCTGAGCCCAAGAGGAGGGAAGTGAGCCACATCCAGAACGGAAGGTCAGCTGGTTCTCCTTCAGTCTCCTGCCGCCCGTGGCCTCCTTCAAGCTGTCTGGCTGTGTCCTGAGCCTCAGAGACCTCCCTCACCGAGTCAACAGTTAGAAGTTCATCCCCACTGTCTGGATGGTAAAGTAGACCCCGGGGGTGGGGGACGAAAGATCTGTGACTTCCCAGCAAATGTCGGTGCGTCCTCCCTTGCAGGGGGCAGCTGATTGGTGCTCTCTTTAGAGAATATCATCTTCTTCTGAAAAATATGCTGATGGACTGTGAGTTTTGCAAATCTACAGCAACTGTCCTCTTCTAGGAGATGTCTGATACTACGGTCTAAAGAGCTGGAACAGCCCTGCGTGATGGTGTAAAAGATTGTTATTAACGTGGACAGCGCGACCTTACTGGTTACCTCCGGGTGGCCACCTGCACTGATGTGGATATATCTTAGCAAAATCATATTAAGCGTAAAAATGAAGTCCGCCTGGCGCCAGCCAGGTGGTGTAGTGGTTAAGTTCGTGCACTCTGCTTCAGCAGCCCAGGGTGCACGGGTTTGGTTCCCAGGTGCAGACCTACACACCACTCATCAAGCCACGTTGTGGCAGTGTCCCACATACAAAATAGAGGAAGAGTGGCACGGATGTTAGCTCAGGGACAACCGTCCTCAACCAAAAAGAGGAAGATTGGCAACAGATGTTAGCTTAGGGCCAGTCTTCCCCATCAGAAAAGAGATAAGAAAGAAAAAAAACTAAGTCCTCCCAAAATACAAGTAAAACTAACCAATGGCTTTTTAAGAGCAAATACAAATAGGAGATTTATATACATATAAATATTCCTAATTTATGCAGTGTTATTTGTAAGTATAACTTACGTAAGTATTTATAAATAATTTGTAATTTTATAAGTATTTATAAACATTGCATGACTTATGTGTTATTAATATCTGCATCTATATTCAATGCAAGATGTCATCAACACAAGATTTCAAACAGCGATGCCCTTAGAAGAGGGCAGCAGGATGGGAGGGGGGACCATGCAGGAGAGGTAAGTTGTTGCCAATGTCCAAGTTTCCACACTGGGGATGGATTCATAAAAGTTTGTATATTATTAAAATAAATATGCAGGCATAGATTTTTGAATCACCTAAATCTCCTCTTAAAAAATCAGACAGAACAACCAGATAGCAAAACCAAAACCCGTGGACATTGACTATAAAATCAAGCCAGAGGTTTCCCCGTGAACAGCAAAACGTGAGGGGGTGGGGAAGTGTGGGATGGACCCAGATCAGGAGGGTCCAGGCCCTTGCTGACACTGGGGACGAGCATGGGAGACAGCGACAGCGTGATGGAGGTGGAACAACCCAGCGTCAGCAAGGACTCGACTGCAACGCGTTAAAACATCCATCTCTGTGCTTTAGTCCAGGAGTTCACCACGACGCTTCACAAACTGCACGGTGGCCTCTGCAGGAAGCCAGGCGACCACCTCACTATTGGAAAGCTGATAAATAAAGGGAAAAGGGTGGAGTGGAGCCTTTGCCCCACCGTTCCTCCATGGACCACACTGGGGATAACAAGTGTATAGGAAAAGCCTCTCTAGAAGCTTCCAGGAATAAAGGCAGAAGTGGCAGAGCTGGATGATCGCAGCTTTGCACCCCCGATGAAGTTAGAGAGCATCTCTGTTGCTCCCATCCCAATAAGAACTCAACACCTTCCCGCCTCAGGGCTCCAACCCCGGTCTGGCCAGGCCTCTGGTCCACCTGCTGCTCTGCCGGACGTACAGAGGACAGGGGACACGACGAGCTGCACCAAGGACATCAGACACTGGGAAACGAGCCTGCGCCGTGGACCCTGGTTGTTCAACAGATTATTGTAAGGAAAAGAAAGGGTAGTTCCCCCTAAAGATTTTAAAAGAAAGACATCCAATTAAAAGTGGGCAAGACTAAAATGGAGTGTTTAGGGAGGTGCACTTGGGCAGTAAACTATAAAGAAATAAAACCAGTGATTCCAACAAGGTGGATGGAGGTTACTGCCCCATTCCACAGATGAGGAAAAGGAATCTTAGCAAATCCACCCACCTTCCTCCAGGTAAGACCAGGAAGCCCGGAACGGGGTCCACGTCCTATTCGTTGTC